TAACCCTAACCCTAACCCTAACCCTAACCCTAACCCTAACCCTAACCCTAACCCTAACCCTAACCCTAACCCTAAACCTAACCCTAAACCTAACCCTAAACCTAACCCTAACCCTAACCCTAACCCGAACCCTAACCCTAACCCTAACCCTAACCCTAACCCTAACCCTAACCCTAACCCTAACCCTAACCCTAACCCTAACCTAACCCTAACCCTAACCCTAACCCTAACCTAACCCTGACCCTAAACCCTAACCCTAAACCTAACCCTAACCCTAACCCTAAGGGCCCTGCGCCGCGCCTATGCCGCCTGGCACCGTGCTTGAAACCCAAGCCCCTCACCATATTCGGCGACTTGTCTGTAACATTCCTATCTTAGGTCATAGACAGCGGTCCACGTTGTAGGGTCTAACCCGCCCCCACAACAGAGCATCATGGCTTGGACATAGGAAGGATTCGAGCCAGGCTGCCAAGGACGCAGCTATGTTTTCCAGCAAAAAGGCCCGCATGGAGGCGATGCCGGCAGATCCCTCTTTGCCGCCGGGGCTACCTGACTACTTTCGTGGGCAGTGGGTGGACGAGTTCCCTCTGTGTGAGTACCAGTGCAATGGGGACGGTTGCATAACGGGGGCGATGGCTTTCCCAGAGTCCCCACACTACATTGATGATGCTCTGCACCCTGTGCCCTCTTCCCTAAGGAGCGCCTCGCCACTGTTCCCCTTTGGTGTGCTCAGCCACATGGATGCAGGGCTTGTGGACGCATGAGACGCTGCGGCACTACACCACATTGCCAGTTGAGGTGTATAATAGCAGGATAGAACGGGTGCTCAAAGGGAGGATCAAGAAGCTTCAAGGGCGACGCATGGGCCTGGTCCTCTACATCCTCCGTGGGCTGACCACTCTGGATGCAGGGCGGACTCTCAAAGCCGCAACTGGCTCGCTGAAGAACGACAAGGCAAAGGAGGACGTTACGGCTCGCTGCAAGTCGTCCGCTGGAATCCTCGACAGGGAGGTCACCCCTCCTGGCAACCTGGCTCGCCCTTGTGGCAAGTGCGGTCCCAGTCCCACCCAGAGTTCGAGCCTTATCAGGTGGACCCCAGCAAGGTAGATGGCTGCTCCTGCTCGGATTCTCGTGCTGATAAACCCTGCAAGGACAGCATCAAGGTCTGGCGCATGATGTATCCAGACCTTGCCGACCACAACCTGATCTGCTTCCTGGGGTCGAAGATGGGATCCATGTATGGTGGGCTCGACCACATGCTGGCAGCTGTGCAGGAGAACATGGCGGCTGCAGCAAACAGAGGTGAGCTGCGGGATGTGCATGGTGTTGCTGTTCCAGCAGAGTGCCATCCGAGCTTGCATCCCCGGTGTCATAGGGGCACTCCAATGCTACCGACCTACACCAAGGTTATGAGTAAATTGATCATCTACATCGACACAGGGCTAGTCGCGACATCCAAGGCCGGCACCGGCAGGAGGCGCGGCAAGGAGCCGATGCCAGTGGCAGAACCCCCACATGGTGCCTCTCCTGACCTGGCCTCCATATCTGCGAAGCCTGACACTCAAGGACCGGAGAGTGCCACCAGTCCACACCCTGTGGACAGTGGCAGCGAGGTTCCACCACTGCTGAGCATCCCGGACACCCCGGCGCCTTCACGCGAGAGCGATTCAGGGCTCAAGGAAGCACTCCGGGGGCCGGCGATCAGGGTCAACCTGGTTGCGGAGAAGGGGGTGCGTGCGGAGCATGATACTCTTTACAAGCACCTTATGGAGATGATCCACCTGTGCTGCCCGCTTGGCCAGCTGATACCATCCCCTACGAGCGCCACATCAAAGCCAAAACTCACCGCATCCGCTCCCATCTTGAGAGGGATGGTGGCAAGAGGCGGCAGGCTGTTTCGACGGACAAATTAAGGCCAAGGTGACCTTGTACCTGCTGTAATTCCCATGTCTGTAAGCGACCAGCTTAGTAATCCGGCAGGGAGAGCGTGTGCGGGGCGGCAGTGCCTCCGGACGGGCAGGCGAGAGGAGGGGACTGCCCTCCCCTAGCACCCCCCCCTTTGGGCCGCGTGAGGCCTCGACGGGCGGACGCCCCGGGCACGACCAACTGGCGCAGACAGAGCTCCATCGCCGTTGCACTCGATACTGCACCGTTCCAATGATATTTTAAATAACAATCTGCCTCGCGGGGCGCGTTTGCACCCCGACGGGACATGGCAATGCCCTGCAAAGATCGAAAATCTATCGACCGAACGAGGGGATCTCGCACCGCGAACAAGCACTTGGAGTTCTACAAAGGCTTGTTGATTAATATTTGAGGGGAAAATGTCATTAGAAGTGCGAGTTGTGACTTGTCCCGGGGGGGCGATAATGTTGTGAGAGAAGGGTACTCCCCCCCTCCCTGGCTTCGGCTTCGACTCTGTACTTACACCGGCCACCAACGCACAGTTTATCCGTCAACCCACCTCCCGAATACAATTTAGAAATGGATGGTAGCGTCAGTCGAGGCCTCCTGGCCTTGCTGGTGATGGTGATGGTGCTCGAGCCTGCAGGGGTAAGGGGTTCCATCCCTGACAACACCAATCTCACGGCCGCTCTCCAGGCCGTCACTCGGAGCTATGCTAGAACTTCTATGAACACCATGAAGATGCTGGAAGAGGCAAGGGTGTTCGCAGCGGCAGTGGACGGGAACATTGCGGGGGAGCCAGCATCCAGCCCCGAAGCCTCAGATTCTGCGGGCCCCTCGCTGGGCATGGCGTCAATGTGCGTGAGAGTTCCTGTATTTACTTGATGTTCCCAACATCTGCATTCTTTCCAGCAGAGCACGCCAGGCCGTTGGCAGACGGGAACCGTCCCCTGCTGGGTGTCGCTCCCGGGCGGACCGGAAGCTGGCCCCGAGACCCGGCACCATGCTCTCTTAATGCAGGGCGGACCACCGACACACTGGGGTCTCAGCCCCGCGCCAAGCCTCTCCTCTCACGTACAGGCTACCTCTCTCCACCCCCTGGCAGGTCGTACTCCTCTGTTCCAAGCAAGTTCCTGGCCACGACCAAGTTCCCGGCCTACCCCGCGGCCCGCCTGGGGGACCCGGGCGTGCCCTCGGGCCTCCTGTCCCCCCTGTACCCGTACCAGCGCGCGACGAGCACCGGCTGCCCCCAGCAGTACAGCGTGACCCTGCGCGGGGCCAGGGGCACCGGCGCCGTGGACGACAGCCCCGCCATCGCCAGGACGGCGGCCGCGTCGGCGCAGGTGTACTTCCCGCTGCGCAGCGGCGCCACCAGCAGCGTGTACCTGATCAGCAGCTCCATCACCGTCGCCCGCCCCATCATCGTCCCCTGCGGCGTTAGGCTGCAGGTTGCCGCGGGGAAGACCCTCACCATCACCGCGCAGCCGCGCGTGACCTGCATGAACCAGGTGGGGCGGTGGGGTGCCGAGGAAGGGGTCGGCCAGCGGGACACGGCGACCGTTCCCTGCCCATGCTGGGGCATGGGTTCCCTAGATCGAGTGTGAGGCCACCGCAGGCCTGTGAGGATGGAAGCAACGTACGTCACTTGGCTTGCGCCGCGCACCTGCTGAACAGCTTCCCCCCCCAACACTTGAACACCCCCCCACACCCACACCATTCTCGCAGGCCATATTCTCCGGCTCCGGCGCCGTGAAGCTGAGCGGGGCGGTGCGCGACATTCACCCCAGCTGGTTTGGCACGCCCGCCACCGACGCCACGGCCGCCGTGCAGCGGGCGGCAGACGCCTGCGCCTCCGGCGCCTGCACCGTCTGGCTGTCGCGCGCCACGGGCCTCACCCGCACCATCACCCTGCGTGGCAACGCGGGCGTGCATGCCAGCGCCGGGGCAACTGTATTCCCTGTGGGGGGCTCCTCCGCCAACGTCAAGCCCTTCTCGGCCTTCACGATGGCGCCGGGGACATACCCCAACCCGATCAGCCTGTCCAGCATCACCTCCTTCAAGTATGCCGTCACAGTCAACGTGCGTGGGGCCGGGCAGTCGCCCCTTTGTGTGTGTACTGTGGGGGGGGGGGCAGGGGGGGCTTAGGTGTGCATGAGTTGGGGGGGCTTGGGAACCCTGTGATCCCAACAGCAGCCTGAATGAATGCCGCTTGCATCTGCCGCGCCCTGCCCCAGCCCCTGCCAGATCTTCCATGGATCTGCTCGACCACGGTGCTCCGCGGACGAGATGTTCAGCGTCGCCCTAGGCCTGTCTTGACAGTCACGGCAATCCCCCGCTCGATCCTCCCCTACTTACAGACCTCCCCCCAACACACAATTATCACCCCCGCACATCTGCAGGGTGGAGTCAAGTCGGCCAGGGTCCGGATCGGGAGTGCCACCTATGGCACCTCGGCGCTGCTCCTCAACCCAGGCTCTGGCTCCTCCATCTCCGGACTCTCCCTCTTCCTCACTGCCTGTGCATACTACACCAACTGCTTGGAGATTGTGGGCTCGGCGTCGGGGGCCAGCCTGGTAAACTCGGTGCTCAGGATCAACTTTGCAACCACCATCTACAACGCGGCCGTGCTGTTCACAGGGTCCCGGCCGCCCAGCTTCACGCGGAGCGGCGTCGTCTTCCAGGTAAGGCGTTCCAGGCGGATGCTGTGGGTGATTGGAGGACGCCATTGCCAGCAGGGTGATCCTGATGCCAATGGGGGTCCCAGCCTTGCACAGGCCTCCACACACCCTCCCACGCCCACCTCACACCCGGCAGGCTGTCGACCCGACGCCCATCAGTCCCCCCTTCTCGACCCTCAAGAACGCTGCAACGTCCCCGGCCAGCGGCTTCACCCTGGGCGTGGACACGTGGCTGGGAGGGTTTCCCATGGGCTCCAGCACCCTCGGGGCGCTGTCCACAGGGCAGCTGGTGAAGGGCAGCTTCTCAAACCTCCTGTCCAGCTTTGCGCTTGCCAATGCCGACTCCATGAAGAGCAACAACATGTGGAGTGAGCGAGGGTGGAGCGGCGGGAGCCTCGGGCGCGCGCCATGGAGGAGTTGCCGCCGCGTGCTGCGGCCAGACCCAGCATGCGAATACTCTGCCCACCCACTTGTGGTTCTGGATGTATGCATGGCCCTGCCTCACCGGGGCAGGTACCCCCTCCCCTTGCACCTGCCTGTTCCTGACCCAACAACCCCGACCCCCGGCCCCTCCTCCCACACCCAGGCATGTCTGGCTCCTCCAACATCGCAAGCGTGCCCTACCTGGGCAGCGCAGGCGCCATTTACGGAATGTCCATGACCGCCTTCTCCGTCATGTCCAATGTCCCGGTGTTCTACACCAGTGTGCAAATATCTTCCTCCTGGAAAGCTGGAACCTCCCAATCCTTCCTAATCTACACCCCCCTGGCCAGATGGGCTCCCACCTCCAGCTTTACATTCGTGCCTTTCAGGTAGGTGCAGGCTGGCATGGGGCCTGGCGCAGGCTGGCAAGGGGAGGGTGGACGTGGGTCTCGTGCTGAGGGGTAAAGGCTTAAAGGAAGGCAAGGGGAGTGTGAAAGCATCAGGCGCGGCGGCCCAACAGGGCATTCTGGGTCAGGGTTTGCCATCTGTTGATCAAGGTGGAATATACCAGAATTTACGTTGGCATGTGCCTAGATAGGGGGAGCTGTGCAGCCTCAGCACGGTCCATGGCGGCATTGTGCTGGGAACTCTTGCGCTCTGCCGGGGCACGGAGGAGATGATGACTCGCATCCCCCTTCCTCCCCAACCACGCTCGATGCAGGCAGTACAACATCTGGCTGGTGTGCACCAAGATTGAGAACAGGAACTCCATCACCAGGAATCAGCTGAGGGTCACCCTCAAGAACGTGTCCAAATCTACCATCCCCTATCCCATGCTCATGAGATTTGGGCTGCAAGTGGGCTTCTGAGGCGTATTGCTACTCACATTCCCATGTACCAATTCCCCAATGCATGCTACCTGGGCTCCATACTGATGAGCGCTACAGGTCTTCTGGTATCGTCGCTCACCCCTTCCCACTCACAAACATCACCTGTTTGGATGAGGCTTATGCATATACATCGCAACAACCCCTATCCTTGTTCATGACCCTCCCAACCACCTCTGCGCTTGTTTTGGCGACAAGACTCTCGCTTCCCACCCTTGTTAACATTTATGGAGTGTGCCAGACCACACCTCGCCTGCTGATGAGGGTTTCACAACTCGTCATGCCTGCCAGGGATCGTGCCCCCTTCCGCCTGATAAAGTCGGTGCACAAAGCCCACCATTGCATGTGCCGTACGTTCTCCTGTAAGCTGGGACACTGTGGGGTGGAAGGGAAGATGACATTGTTGCTAGGACCCCATAACGGCGCAACAGCATTGCATGTGTTGGGGCAGCGCGCGGCAGCCGCTCCATCCGGCATCAAGGGTGGGTGGGAAGGATTCACCACTGCACGCTGCCTTGCTGCCACCTATGCGTACCTAGGTTGCTGCGAGATACATAATATATGGTGGGGAACTCCTTGTACTCGATCAGCGCCGAGGGCAGCTCATTGGCCGTGCCATCAAAGCGTCCTATGACCAAGTCGGGGAGGTCCTGCGGCATGCAAGGAGCGGGGCTCGAGAGCAGCATTTCTCATGTCGAGCGTTGTGGTGCAGACCTTGCGAATCTGGGCGACGACAGACTTCTAATGGTTCTCTGTATGTTAGTACGCCTCGAGCTAGGGGTGCAGGCAGTGGGCGACATGCATGACCCATACCTTCAACGCCTGGGCCGCCTCCTCAAAAGCCGGCGAGACAGCCTGCAGCAGGTATCAGGTTTGGGTAGCGTTTGCAGTCGGCGCTCCACGCGTGCAAGATCATCACGCGAGATAGAGGCTCACTCGCGCAGGCAGACCTCCAGAGACTCTCATGCGCGAGCCCCAGCGGCCTCCTCTTCTTGATCAACATGTACCTTGCTGTGCTGACAAAACTTTGCATGTATGAAGAGGAAGGCTGACGTGTTTGGAGAGAGCACTGCGTCCACAATTGTGGTTCCCACCCAAACCTGTGGAAGGGCATGGGATGGTGATGATCATAAGACATCAATCTCCCCTTGCTTGAGCAGACCGTCAATCACTCTTCACCTGTGCTACTACTCATCAAGCTTGAGGAAACTGACCACCAGTGCCCTGGCATGCCAACCCCGTTTCGTCCTTGCCTGAATGGGTCCGTCGTTGGCTGCTGGCTCTGGCTCTGACTTTATGTGGCGTGGAATGAGATCGGCCTGCACATGCGTCCATCAGGTGTGGACATGGGCATAAGGGTCACCTCAACTTTTGGAGCAGCTCCGTCATACGAAGATGAAGACCCAAGACTCTCAAGGTGTGAGAAGAGGGTGCTGCTCGTCAAGCTCACTGCCCGCAAGCAGATGGATGTCCTCGGGCACCGGACTCACTCCTATGGGCAAAAGCATGAGACACGGATCACATGTCCAGCGGGGCATGGACGGCGTGCTCACCTGATATCGCTTGATGAAGGGCTGCATCTCCTGCACATCGGCCTTTCTTTCCAAGTACTTGGCCTGGCTCCAGTGCTCAATGGCCATCAGGGCTGGCAGCTCCTCTGCTTTGACGCCCACCATGTCCAGCAGTTGCTGTGGGAATCGTGTGCTGGGCAGGTCAGACAGCCATGTGTGGTGCCTGGCGAAGCATCGCGCTGTGCATCCATGTCGCAAAAGTGAGTGATTGGTCCTTCCTCAAGTGGCGGTCGAGGGGCAGTGCAGCAGTGCAGCCCCAAGTCCACCCGAGAACATCGGACGACATACTCGTGCACGGGTCCGCAGTCCCTGTTCCCCAGGATCGTACCTCTCCATCGGGACCTGGCAGTCCCATCACAAACTTCAGCTCTGGGAAGGCATGCGCAGCCGCAACAGCAGCTTCCCACCAGTTCTCATCGTCCTGGATTCAGCATGCACAGCATAGTGATTGAGGTGTTGCACGGGATGGCAAGTGACCCCAAGCAGTATCCAAGCCCCAGGCATGAAGATGTTGTGGGCAGGGCTGATGGAATAAGAGAAATGCATCCTTGGTGCAGCTGCACGGCCACCAGCCTTGCACTCACCCCCGGCAGCATGATGAGGATCTTGTCAGCAATGGTGTTCCAGGCCACCTGGAACTCCTTCATGAACTCCCTGCATCCGCAGTGGGAAGGTATTCACCGCAGTCAGGGCTTTGGCGAGCCCCTGTAACCCGTTCACATAGCAGTGGATGGCTGCGAGAACATGACTTGTCTTGACGTGCGGGATGCTGTGCCGCTGGTTCCCCTCCTCCCAACCTGGTGAACGGGATGACAGGTGGGTTCAACTTCTCCATAGCCCAGGCTACCAGCTCTTTAGGAGAAGAAGGCATGCACTCTAGCGTGGGCTGTGGAGGGAGAAGGTGCGTTGGACTCTGCACAATTGCTGTACCGAGAGACACCGTGTAAGTGATGTCTCCAGCAATGTGTGTAGCCACAGTTCGCGCAGTACGGATCTCTCTCTTGACTTGACTCACAGTGACTGGCATCCCGTGCCGCTGTAAGATGACAGTGCAAGGTTTCCTTGCTGCTGTAGCCCCACCAAATGCGCAGGGAGGTAGCAGGGCTTCTTCGAGCACATACCCGACTGACACCGCTGTGCAGGTAGGAATGGGGGAAGTTGTCAGGGTACATCCAGACCTCACAAACCATTCACAGAGCATGTCTGCTATTGGGCTCTGGGTATCCCCTACAGGCGGTGCACACATATCCGTTGCATGCAAGCCTCATCGCTTCTAGGCACCTTGTGGCAGGCACACGGCCTCAAATCTCCCCCTCTCAGTAACACGAGAAGCTTACACTTGGAGAGCGTGGTAGCCGCCTCGGCGTACACTCGAAATTCTGCAGTGTCGTTGGTTGTAAGGAAGGCCACAAGGGTGCTCGGATGGGTCGCCAGCCAAGTCTCAACTGTAGGCTTTGAAATGTACAGCGTCGGGGTGCCGGAGCTCTGCTGAGCATCCGGTGAGCACGAGACAAATCCCAGCATCATCAGCATGATTGCCGAAGACGTCAAGGTCTGTGATATCTTCCATGCCATCGTGCGATCTAGGGCGCCGTTCATCATAGCCTCGAGCTATCGCACAGCCGAGTCTCGGTTACAAAGGTTGGCCTACCCACGCCATCATCGAAGTTTGGATTCGAGTCCTGGACCTTCGAATGATTAAAGTAGCTCACTCACGATGTACTTTGCCTTTGCTTGAGTGCCCAACAACAAGCGAGATGAATTGGTGTCGGAAATGTCTCCTGCGCGCCCTGGTGAGGGTGCACCACACTGCACACATGATCAAGTTCGAGGAGTCAGCGGTCAGCTTGTCGTTGCTTCACCGATACCTTATGTCGTAAAGGTGCTACCATTGTGTCGCTGGATTGGTCCTCCCCTAGATCGCGGGCACAAGCGTCCGCTCACCCCCAGGCGGGCGAGCCGGCAGCCCTCGCCGACAGTCCTGATCGTTGCTCAAGGTCTGCTGCATCTCAGAGACACATCCGCCTGGCGCCATGGTGAAGCAGCGGCTAACGAGTGCAGATATCGCTGCAGAGGTGTCCTGTCTGCGCTCAAGAATCATTGGCCTCAGGGTGGCCAATGTGTATGACATCAATGCCAAGGCAGGAAGATTGGGAGGGCAGGGGGGATCAGGACTGCCTGACGCAGTTCCACACGTCAGCGTCGCCACAGCGCACCCACCCGTGTACTCGCTGCGCCTGCACCACAGACGTATGTGCTGAAGCTGGCCAGGAGCGGCGAGGACGGCGAGAAGGTGTTCCTGCTGATCGAGAGCGGGGCACGCATGCACACCATCGAGGTGCGGGCTGGGGCGGATGGTGCGGCTTGCAGCGGTGTATCAGGTCGGGATGCCGCGGCAGCCCCCTGGGCAGCGAGAGGGAGTTGCACGGGGACCTCCGCTCATCTTCATCTGGTGTGCTGCTCGTGGCAGACAATCTCCCTCGCCATCCTCCTGCCCCCCGACTCCTGGTCTCATATCCTCCCTCGCCCCCCCCCGCCCTTCCTCCTTATCTTCCAGGGCATGCCCGTGAAGGGCGACACCCCCTCCAACTTCACCCTGAAGCTGCGCAAGCACATGCGCACGCGGCGCGTGGCTTCAATCCGGCAGCTGGGCATCGACCGCATGGTGCAGCTCACCTTTGGCACGGGCGAGGCCGCGCACCACCTCATCCTGGAGTTCTTTGCCCAGGGCAACGTGGTGCTGACCGACGCGCAGTACGGCATCCTCACGCTGCTGCGCAGCCATCGCGACGACGCGGCGGGCCTGGTCATCATGGCCGCCCACCCCTACCCCGTGCACGCCGTGCGCGCGCGGCGCGCGCGCCAGGCCCCCGCTGCCGGCCTGGCGGCGGAGCTGCGGCGCGAGGCCGACGGGGCGGCGGGGGAGGGCAGCGGGGCGGTGCGCGGCGCGCTCAAGGATGCGCTGGGGCGCGCGCTGCCCTACGGCCCGGCTGTCGCGGAGCACGTCGCGCGCGTTGCGGGGCTCGACCCCGATGCCCCCCTTGCGACAGGCTTGAGCGACGACGCGCTCGCCGCCCTCACTGCAGCGGCGGCAACCTACGAGCGGTGGCTGGCCGGCACGGAGGCCGCGCCGCCCGCGGGGTACATCCTCTTCGCGCCGGGGTCCACCGAGGTGTACGACAGCGTGGAGCCGCTGCTGCTGGAGCAGCACGCCGGACGTCACGTCGTCAACTTTGGGTCCTTTGACGCCGCCATGCAGACCTTCTTCGGCAAGGTGCTGCCGTATGTTGTGTGTTGTGGGGGGGTGGGGGGGTGTCAGGGTGCGCGGTGTGTGAGAGGTGGGGGGCACAGCCGGGGAGGCGGCGAGGCGGGCCGCCACCATGCACCGCCCCGCCCAGGGGCGACGAGCGTGGCTCCTGGATGGCACGCGCCCCGCGACGGGCGGTTTCGTTCTGGGTGCGTGCCTCTGGAGGCTGGGATCACATCCCTGTTTGTCATTGAAAGTCACACCCCAAGCCCCTCAACCCCCATCAACAAACACCCACCCACCAGATGAGCGGGCAGCGGGCGGTGGTGGCCAAGGCCTCCAAGGAAAAGGCGGCACACGGCAAGCTGGAGGCCGTGCAGCGGGACGCCGCGGCCCGGCTGGTCGCCCTGGCCGGGGAGGTGGAGAGCAGCGAGGGCACGGCGCGGCGCATCGAGGCCAACGCGGAGCTGGTGGAGGCGGCGCTGGCGTCGGTGCGTGAGGCACTGGCGGGCGGCCTAGACTGGTCGGCCTTGGGGAAGCTGGTGAGGGAGGAGGCGACAGCCGGCAACCCCATCGCGGCAGCCATCGACAGCCTGAACCTGGACAAGGGCCAGGTGACACTCCTGCTGCCTGATGCGGGCGGGGACGACGCGGCGGCGGAGGCGACCGGCGAGGAGGAGGAAGGGACTGCGGCTGGTGAGGCCGGGCGGCACGGGCGCGCCAGGCGGCAGGTGGCCAAGGTGACGGTGGACCTGGCCCTGTCGGCCCACGGCAATGCGCGGTTCTACTACGACGCTCGCCGCAAGCACCAGGCCAAGAGGGAGCGAACGCTGGCGGCCAGCGACAAGGCCATCAAGGCCGCCGAGCGCAAGGCGGCGGCCCAGCTGAAGCAGGTTAGGCTTCTTGGAGGTTTGTGTGTTTAAAACCTGGCTGTTTGGAACTTGGTCGTGCATGAGGGATGGGCTGCTACAGAGCCGAGTGACTCACTTTCGCTGAGGAGTCGTCACAGGCTTTGCCACAGCAGTTGCCGAATGCTGACCTGCTGCAGCCCCCGCTCCAGCGCATGCGGGGCCAGAACTCCCATGCCCCCATTTCCCAAGCACTCATTACCCTCCCGTCCCAGGTTCACGCTTCGCCGGTGGCTGCCATTGCCCGCAAGCCACACTGGTTTGAGCGGTTTCACTGGTTCATCTCCTCCGAAAACTACCTGGTCGTGTCGGGCAGGGACGCCCAGCAGAACGAGCTGCTGGTGAAGCGGTACATGAAGTGAGTGGGGGGTTGAGGTTGAGAGCGAAGATCGAAACTGGTGCTTGTGCTTGAGGGCCGGGGGCTCTGTGGATCATCTGCCCTGTGCCCTGCAAGATTGGGGTGCCATGCCTCGATCTGTGTCTCCATGTGCAGCACAGCTACAGTCCTCCAGTGTCACGGCTCTGCTGGCAACCTCATGCCATTCCCCCACCCACTGTAGGAAGGGCGATGTGTACTGCCATGCCGACCTGCATGGCGCGTCCAGCACCATAGTGAAGAACCACAGACCGGAGGTGCCCATCCCTCCCTTGACCCTGGCACAGGTGAGGGGAGGGCACCCGGTCACGCTGGACAGCGTATGGTCAAGAGTGAGGGCAAACACATTTTGGTGTCGTCACTGCTACCCAGGCCCCGGTTTCTCTGCCTGCATACTTTCCGTTGCCATCCTGCTTGTCCCCACTTAAAACTACATTGCTCAGCACTGGGCATGCTGGTGCAGTATTGTGTTGGCAGCCGGAGCTCGCAGGACCCCCTGCCCTTTGAATACCTCACATGCCTCCTCCCCATTCCCACCCTCCAACCACTCACAGGCTGGTGCCGGGTGTGTGTGCAGGAGTGCGGCCTGGAACAGCAAGGTGGTCACATCGGCCTGGTGGGTCCACCCAGAGCAGGTGCGCCCCGGGCTTGCATGGCGCACCCCACTCGCGGGTCTCATGTCTGGCTGTGCCCAGCACGGCGAGCAGTGCCCTTGTGGAGCCTGGCACCTGCCCGAACAACATCCATGACTCATTCCTGGTCGGCCCCTGAACCCTTGGAACAGGTCAGTCAGACGGCACCCACGGGAGAGTACCTGACGACTGGGTCTTTCATGATTCGGGGACGAAAGAATTACCTCCCGCCCCAGGTACAGCATGCGGGCCATTGGTGGAAGGTCGACATGACAAGTCTCTGTGTCAGGGTTGGCACGGGATGTGATCGTGGTGTGGTGATGTTTGTGGACTTTGCCGCGATGTTCGAGTGCTGCACTGGGATGCGCATGGACCTTCTCATGCAGTTCCCAATCCTCTATGCTGTACGCACCGCTCCGTGCCTCTGCCTCTGATTTTCCACTTCCCTTCCATCTCTCCCCTCCGGGCATGCAGCCACTGGTGGTAGGATTCGGCCTGCTCTTCCGGGTGGAGGACAGCTGCATCGCCGCCCATCTGGGGGAGAGGGCCGTCAAGTCTGGACAGGATGGGGAAGAGGACGACGCCTATGTTGCCGCGAACATGAGACATGCCCCCCTTGCCCCCTCTGAACCCGCGCCCGGGCATGAGGGGGAGGAAGAGGAGTCTCCGCGGCCAGACCCCCTGGCCGCCTTCATGGACTCTGGCCTGGAGGCACTCCCCTCCCTGGGCGGCAAGGGACAGGGCGGCCGTGGGGGGGCCGCGGCGACGCAGGATCTCCAGGCCCAGTTCCAGAGGTACGGGCTAGGCGAGCGCCCAGGCGCGGGCGCCGAGGTGCACGGCGCGGGGCCGGATGCTGGCCTGGCGCAGGGTGGACGGCAAGGCGGCAGGGCGGTGCGACACCTGTCTGCTAAGGAGCGGCAGGCGCTGAAGGCTGGCACTCCCGGCGCGGAGGCCGGGCCGGGTCAGCGTGGCGGCGGCAGGGCCTCGGCCGCGGCTGCGCCGGCCGTCGAGAGGGGGCAGGGCGCGTCCGCTCGACGAGGGAAGAAGGTCGGCGGAAAGTACGGGGACGATGAGGACGCCGAGCTTGCACGGCAGGCACTCCAGTCAGGAGGTGTGGATGATGGATTGTATGTGGGCGGTGATTAGGGATGCATTCGTTGTCCAGCAGCATCCACACAATCCGCTGGCCCCTGGATGGGGCCTGCATGAAGATCCTGACAACACTCCTGGTGGAGTCTTCTGTCGGACAGATGGCGTGCATGGCGGGGCTGACGGTGCTGTCCACCATCCCCTACAGCCGACACCAGCACTGCCCTCTCATCCTCTGTAGGTCCCACAAAGAGCCGGCGCCAGAGGAAGGAGGAGCACAAGGCAAAGCTGGCAGCAAAGAAGACGGCGCAAAACACGGTGACGGCAAAGCCGGTGACGGCAGACGACATCGCCCGAGTGTTTGACGCGCAGTTCGAGGAGTTGGCGGGGGAGGAGCGGGAGGAGGAGGCGTGGGAGGAGGAGCGGGAGGGAGGCTCGGACGGGCACGGGGATGGGTCGGCGATAGCTCCGGGCACCCGGGAGGGGGAGCCTGAGGACGACGCCGCCTGCCCAGAGGCACAGACATGTGAGCCAGAGGCGGGGGCGGGTGTGTCTGTGCATGCTGACGACGGAGAGCCGGAGGGAGGCCAAGCCGGCAATGTGGACGATGCACGCGAGGTGGCAGCCCTGTTGCAGGAGGAAAACATCCAGCTCCTAGGTGATCGCTTGGGGTTGGCTGGTGAGGAGGTCTTGACAAGACCCCGAAAGCCGACACCTGGATACAATTCTACATGCCAACCGGATCAACATGTGCGCAAGCCTCGGTGTTCCCAGCTGCGAGGAGACAGCCGCACAGTACTCGGGTTGAATGCGCCACCCTTCTGCAACTCACACAGACGAGGAGGACCGCCTACGTCTAACAGACCTGGACGCCCTCACGGGCTTGCCCAGACCAGACGACGTCCTGCTGTACGCCCTGCCGGTGTGCGCGCCATACCAGGTGGGCCTTGCTGCTGCTGGGTGTGCCGTCTGGGACTCTGAGGGTGGCCGCTGTACAGTGCGACGGGCCGTGCAACCAGGGACCATGAGTGTTTCAACCCTGACACAGCGACGCTCAAAGGCTGACCGGGTGTAGTAACCCCCTGGACTGCCCCAACATCCCCACCCGTCAGGTATTGACCAGCTACAAGTTCAAGGTGAAGATGGTGCCAGGGCCGCAGAAGAAGGGCAAGGCCGTCCGACAGGTGAAGTGGTGATTGTGTGGTTGGTGTGCTCCCGTGTTTGTTCACTGGAGCGGGGGAGACATGAAGCTACAAACTGAAGTGACTCCCGCAGTTTGCTTTGGCGATGCCCATGCTCAGGTTCGAGTCCGCCCTCACAGCATGCATAACTGCCCTCTGGTGCCACTCCTTCCCAACGCAGGCCATGGAGCTGTTCCAGAGGGCGGCGGACACGACGAGCCGAGAGCGCGATCTCTGCAGGGCCGTCCCCGAGCCGGAGGCCGTCATCACGCTGGTGGGCACGGTCAAGATCCAGGCGGCCGGTACGCAGAAGCTGAAGCAGGCCGTGCAGCAGCAGAAGAAGAAAAAGTGATGTGCATGGCGTGTGAATGCAACCTGGAGGTTGACGGAGGGCTGTAGGGATTGGGGTTGAGACCAAGCAATTACGCCAACAGAGGAGACAGGAAGAGATGTGGCGATACCGGCGAGAGTGCAGGTGGGGGTGCAACCGCAGAAGGGAGTCTGGCAGAGGACTCCAACCAATGCGACAAAGGATGGCAGCCACAAAAGGAACAACCAAGAAGCAAAAATCAGTCTCACAAGTGCGACTGACGAGGGTAACTCCACCGCATCTCTCAGGCTCGTTATCCATCTGCCGATCGAGGTTCCGATGTGGGCTGCTGAGTTTCCTCCCTGACCCGTTCCACCGGCAATTATCGAAGGACCCACCCCCTCTCAAGGAGGTGGGAAACTCCGACCCCGACCTCAGGTTGGGCAAGCCAGTCAACAAGACACGAATGGCCCTGACAGATCGCCTAGCAATCCCCGAAGTGAAGCTTCCACTTGGATGACAGACCTGCGCTACTAGGTCCAGCCGATGAGAAGCGCGGCAGCTGGGTATATGAACCCGTGCAATTTTGGACCCACGGATTATGGGTCGGGCTGCTTGTGGAGCCTCAAGAAGTGATGTGGTGGCCAGGTGTGCGGTCTCTGAGACTTGACTAGGATCTGTACGGATTGCTTGAAACCATTCCATGCTTCATGCTGTTCCAAAATGTCACCCTTCGAGGGTGTGAGGGTTATGCCGGATCATGTGTCTAGCACCTGTGCAGGCAGTATACAACAATAATTGCCAGCCAGCCATGCCCATGTCAAGAGATTTGTACTCGATAATATAGCAACTCCCTCCACCTGGCAGATCTGTGTTGCATTCCAACACAGGCCCACCATCCGGGGAGGAGGTGAAAGATGATCACCCCCCAAGGCGCGTTCACGGAAACCAACCAGGCTGAATGCTAGCACACGAGGGGGATAGGAAGGCCTACCCCTTGCGCATCTATTATCTACATGAGCAACACTCGATCTTGACGGGTGTATTGCACCGTCGATTCGATCCCTGTTACCACCGATATGTCGGAGAGCTCGCTGCCCGACATCTTCGCGGACCTGGTGCCAGGGTCCAAGGCCAGGGACTCGGTGAACGACGACAGCGTGCTCCCTAGCATCAAGTCCAACGATCGTGTGCTTAGTAGCCCGAAACGGAACCAGCCCGGTCCACCGATGGTACGGTGTCTGCGGGTGCTCCCGGTCTGGATCACTCTGCCCAGCGCGTTGATGGGTGGCCAGGTCACCCTGAGAATCCCATTCCGTTCCTTTGACAGGCACAGCACAAGGAAGGCCTCAAGGAGCTGGACCCTGCGCTGCAGAGTTTCTTGGGCAAGCTGACGGAGGGCCTGCAGCGGGTCGTCGAGTCCGTGGACAGGTGTGGGGAGGAGGGAGGATTGGCAGTCTCGTGCATCGGGGGTGTACCTCCAGCTCCACGTCACATGTGCCCGCCCGCTCCCCTCAGACGCCTGGAGTCGCTGGAGAACCGGGTGGAGCAGACGGGTCGAGCCCTGGCAGACCTGCAGGAGGTGGGGGCGGTGAGGGATGACGCCGCCAGGGAGAGGTTTGGCGGCCTGGAGAAGTCGCTGCGTGAGGTGCACCGCTGCGTCCAGATCATCCGCGACAAGCAGGAGCTGGCCAGCGCGGCGGACGAGCTGCGCCAGCTCTCCACCCAGTCCTCCGGGCCCTCCCTGGCCGAGGTCAGGCACGCCGCCGACACTGGCGCCGCTGGTGCAGGGGACGCGCCGGCGGCCATCGGGCCCCCCGCTGCGACCACCGCTCCTGCCGCAGCCGCTGGCAAGCCGCTGGCCGGGGTCGCTGAGGGCCTGCCCGTGCCCCCTGCGCCCTTGATGGCCTCTGCTCAGCAGCCCCCGGTGCCGGCCATGCAGCCGGGGCAGCAGGCTTCTGCCCCTCCCCCGGCGCCGGCGCCGCCCTTCTCCCAGCCCCCCGCACCAGCCCCGCATCCACAGGCCGTGGTGGTGCAGCCACCCGCCTCGCTGCCCCCCGTGGCCACAGCCTCCTCGCCCCATGGCGCCGCCGCCCCCGCCCCCGCCGCCTTCCAGCCCTCCCCGCACCAGTACCTGCCCAGCGCCCCCCCGCCCCATCAGCCCGGCCCTGTGCAGCAGCAGCCGGTGCCGCCGGCCCCGCACTATCAGACTGGGGCCGGGGCGCCGCCCGCGTATCCGCACCAGCACCCGCCGCCGCCGGCTCCTGGGCTGCAGTCGTACGACAGGGCCTACTCCTTGGGCTCGGTGTCCTCCGCCGGCGGGGTGCAGGGCCCCAGCGGGCCCATGAACTCGCCAAGCGCTGGGGCGGGGGGGCCTTCGCAGTATGGCGGGCAGTACCCTGCGGCCCCTCCGTCCTATGGTGGGGCGCCGCACGCATACGTGAGTTTAGTTCAGCTGGTGGTTGGGGAGGGGGTGCGAGAACATCCGGGAATGGAGTAGATGAGGGGAATGGTGTGCAGCAAACCATTCCTTGCTAGTGTACGACGGCACCCACTCCGTGGTGCACTGTCCAGCCTTCTCCACCCCTTTCCCACCACCTCCTCGCAGGCTGACCCCAACGGACTTCCTCAGGCGCCAGTGCCGCCGCCACCACCTCCTCCGCCCCCGCCGCCGCCAACACAGGCTGCATACCCACCCCAGCCTCAGTCCAACTTCCACACCGGCTACCCGACCCTGCCGTCCTCGCTGCCCCACCGAAACCAGGTGCCCATGCCTCCACCAGGCTACACCCGCACCACCCGCCCCGGGCCCGCGCCCTCTTCCTCCTCCTTCACGCGCAACGAGGTGTGGGGGGTGGGGGCAGATTTGGGGGTTGAGTGGTCCATTTTCTACCAGTCGTGGCATCGCAGAGGATGCTGGCCATTGTCACAGTCAAATCATACGACAGATGGGGGCATCATGGTCGTGGCACCTCTGCATGGCGTGCAGCCCCAACAGTGTGCCTCTGTTCCCTGTGCCTGAGTCGGCACGATGCATCGGCCCCCTGCAGGAAGCCCCCTCGGCCGATGGCGGTCAGGCAGTGCCGATCGAGAAGGTCATCGACGACGTGGCGGTCATGGGCTTCTCCCGCGAGGAGGTGCGTCGTGTCCTGAAGCAGCTGATGGAGTCGGGGCAGTCAGTGGACCTGAATGTCGTCCTGGACCGCCTGGGAGCGAGGTGATGGCTCGGGCATCGAGCGATGGCGAGAGTAGTTTGGGAGCTGTCGAACGAGGCTTCAGAAAATGGTCTGGAAAATTATAGCACAGTGCGAGAGGGGTGCAATCAACCGCTGGTGTGTCGTCGACTCTCTGAAAAGGACCTTGGATCCCCTGTAACACCCATGTAAAGAGAGCTCCACCTTGTCGTGCTCACAAGTCAAAGCCCCCTCCCAGTTCCATCGGGCCGGTCTCTCTCCTGGCCGTTGAGAATGCATTCTGGCCTCTTCTGTAAATGCAGCAGGGTGCACCCTGGGTCAAAGTCACATGCTGTTCACCTCAAAGGCAAAACGTTGTCGTGTGAATCCTGCCTCCCACTCCTATCCCATTGCGCTGCTGCGCACAGAGCTGTCAGTCATGCCTAGTTACACTGCCGAAGTCACGGAAAAGAATCTCATGCCATTCTAGGCTCATATGCTGCTGGTGATGAACATGAGCTTCCTCTTGACTATGACTGCCATCACCCCGCCAAAGAGGAGGATGGCGCCCAGCCCGCAGGTGAAGCAGGTCCAGAAGAAAAGGGGGTAGCTCTCCTGCCAGAGCGTGTTGTACAGATTCATCCTGGGGGGTGCAGGTTCGAGTGGAGGGCCAGTGATGGGCAAAGGGGAAATATCAAGTGTTACCCAGGCACTCCCCATCCCCAAGCAGGCCCAGTGCTGCACTGCAGTACATATATGCTCAATCAAGAGTAGCCCCCACTCACCCCCAGAACCCTGCGATCATGGAGACCCAGGCAAAGGCGGCGGTCACCAGGCTGACCAGCAGGTCCAAGGCTACGAGCTCGTTCCGGCGGTGGTCCATCTGGAAAGGAGTTGTAGCCGAGCAGAAGGGGAAGTGGAGGTCACAAGACGGGGCAGCAGGGCGCCTTTCTTGTAAAACCATCATGGACTCACTGACCCTAGTGAGACACACAGCAGATTCCAAACACTGGCCTGCCCCATATCCCCCCAATCCCCTCGCTCTCAACCCCCTACACCTGTGCCGGCCCCCCAATCCCCAACCCCCACCCCTACTCGCCTGGATCTCCACCAAGTCCTCGTTGGCGTCGATGTGCTCGGCGATCATGAGCAGGCGGCGCAGCATGCCGTCCACCTTGACATAGTAGTTCTCCAGCTGGTCCTCTGCGTCCTCGATCTCATGCGGATCCACCCTGCTCCTCGACCGCCGCGACTCCGTCCGCCTCCGGCGTGGGCCGTCGCCGCCGGGCCGGGAGTCGGCCTCCGACTCGGCGCCCTCCGAGGCACTGCCCTCCGGCTCGGACCTGCTGCGACTCCGCCCTGAGATGGACGAGGAGGGTGGTTAGGGGGTGAGTGTGGGGCCATCGAGGCCAGGGCCGGGGTGGATATTCCCGCCACAGGCCCACTTCTTCACCACGCAAGCCGCACCATGCCATCTCACGCGCATCCCAGTGCACAACACCCCCCCCCCCCCCTCTTCCCCCTGCCCTGACCACCCTCACACCACCAAGTACCTCCCGTCCCGCCCACCTCTGTCGACAACAATCGGGTCGGGGTGGAAGCCGACTCGGGACCCTGGGCTGCTGCGGGGGGTGGGCCCCCGCGCCTGCGACCCGGCCTCGCTCTGGCCGATGGGCGTGGGCCCGTCACTCGTGCCCTGCAGCAGGGGGACCATGTCCGCCTCCGGGCCGTCGTACCCGGCGCAGGGCTGCTGCTGGTATTCGGGCAGGTCACGCGGCTGGGCGGGCAGCTCCTCCCCATACGTCGCCGCGCGCCGCGCCAGGTACATGTCCTGCCGAGGGTTTGGAATATTGAGGGAAGGGACATGTAGGGATTGTAGTTTCTGGGCAGGGAGCCTCAACATGCACCGACAGGTCGGCACCAGCAGCGGCTTCATTTAAAAATCTTGAACAAAAGCCAACAACACTCACGCACCGCCATGTCATCATCGTCCTCCAGGATCTCCTCCAGCTCCTGCTTCACGCGCTGCACGCGCGTCTGCAGCCGGTTCAGCTCGTGCTTGACCTGGCGCACCCCCTCCAGCACGCTCGTGCTGACCTGTCGCGAGCAGAAGGAGGGCAGAGGAGGGGTGAGAAGCGCGGCGATGGAAGCGGGGCGGGCAAAAGGACAGACACGACTCTCATGCGACCTGAGCTGGGAAGTCGGCCTGCGCCACAAACCACACCCGTTCACTCACATCTGTGGTCAGGCGGTCGACGACGGGGTATGCCCGTGCCTCCAGCCTGCAGACCTCCGACTCCAACGTGGCGGTGACCGTGGCCAGCGCCACCTCCAGGGCCCGCAGCTCGTACGGCATGGTCTGCGCGTACTTGGCAGACAGGCTGTGCATGCGGAGGGAGGGGGGGTGAGGGGGGGCGAGGGGGGATGCTGAGACACGAAACGCTGATAGCTTGAGTGGCCACAGACTCTCACCAACCGAGCATAGATCCCCAGCCTGCCAACATCCAGCCTCACAGGGCCATGCGCTGCAGGCTGGAGGAACTGGGCGCTGCCTTGTGCGGCTTCAGCATCTCGCACAGCTTCTTGATGAACAGGCTGTCGCAGGTCGGCAGGCTGGGTTTGTATGGGTTGGCGTCCTGCGCATTGAGGCTGGCAGATCCTCGGTGGTGGCGGCATACGCACTGAGGTACAGGTCCGCGCCTCCCAGACCCAGCAGGGAGCCCGTCGGCCATGCTGGCCCTCATGCCACACCCCACGGGCATTGGCTTGCACCCCGACGCAAAAACCATCGCGCCGCCCTCACGTCTGGCACACTCAGGACGTAGCACTGATTCGCGCAGATGATCATGCGCACGGTCTCCAGGTTGATGATGAGCGCGCGGTTGCGGATGAGGATGGCGGCGGGGAAGGGCAGGGGGAGGGTGGGGTCCAGGGTGAGCAGGTCGCGGTACCTCACCCCCAGCTCATACACCAGAACGTGCTTGTCCACCTGTGTTTGTGAGTAATGAAAGGAATTTCCAGACCAGATCAAGAACGTCTCTGGCCGGGGCTGGGCGGCAGGAAACTCCCCTGCCGGCTCAGACATTTTGCTCCCCTGGCTTAACCCGGCACGCGCCTTCCCCCCAACCAGCCGGGTGCCCCCACCTCGACGTCGGAGGGTATGCCATGCTCATCGATGTGCAGCCAGACCCTGGTGTTCCTGTCTGGATTATCGCTGCGGGTACTGTCCCGGAACAGGGTGTGGTACAGGTCCACGGCCCCCGGCAGGGAGTCGTCCTCCTTGTCCATGTGCGTGCGGTGCAGCAGGGGCTGATGGACGCCTTCATGCAGAGCCTGTCGCACCATCGGTGGCCATGCGCTTCCAGGCCCGCCTGACGGCGGGCCGCGGCTTGTGGGCTGCCCGGTAGCTCTGGCAATGCGCATTTGTTGCCGAGAGGGAACCCCCGATCACGTGGAGGGCCAGTTTCATTTATTCTACACATGGATGCCCGCATGGAGCGTGCCTCAGGCGAGAGAGATGTACAGAAGAGGATACTCAATAGCATGGTATGGCAACGCCCGTGCATGCATGGCGCAGCCGACGCGCTCCTTGCTCGGCGTAACATGCACCGGCGGCGGCCGGCCCCGTGCCCCTCCGGCTTCAGACGGGAAGCGCATCGCCGCGTCACTTCCTCCCCGACTTGAAGCCCGAATACTCCGAGAAGTAGCTGTCGGTGCCGTCCCGCATGCGGTCCGCGGCCGCCTGGCCCTGCAGCGGGTTGGCCAGCTCGATGCCCTGGATGGGGGTGAAGGCCAGGGAGGAGGACAGGCCGCTGGCGGCGCCGGAGGAGCCGTAGCTCCGCGCCGCAAACTTCTTGGCGCTCTTGGCGGACAGCTTCTGCCGCTGCTGGATGGCCACGTTGCGCAGACGCCCGCTGCCGTCCTTTCCAATCACGCCCAGGCCGATGGTGTCCTCGCCGTCGTAGAACTCGTCCTCCGCCTGGTTGAAGGCCATGCGGTTGGCCTGCTTCTTCAGCTCCGTCAGCCCGTAACGCTCCTGTGCGGGTGCGGGGTTGGGAAAATGATGGAGGGGGGGGGGAGTGGGAGCATGTTGTTACGATGGTCGATGCATGGCAAGGGGATAGTGGGTGATCCCAGCAACGGATGCGGCAGAGGAAACCAACCGGCGAACAGGCACAGACACGTCCTCCTGATGTATGTTCAGGCCAAACTGCATGCCGGGGCCCCCACCGGCCCCAAAGGCATGCCAATGAGGCGCACAGAGCGCTACATCGCCCTGTCCAGCTCCCCGCGCCCTTCAGACCCTCCAACTTCCGTGCCTAAATAAGCCTGCCCTCCCCTCCCCCCACCCCTAATGAAAGGTGCGCCACTCCCACCCCACCCCCCGCCCCCCTCCACCTTCTCCTTGCGGTACCGCTTCCCGCCGCGCCGCCGCCGCTGCTCGTTGGCGTCCGGCGCGGGCAGCACCTTGGTCTGCTTGGCGGGCGGCGGCTCCTGCCACTTCTCGATCTTCTTGGCCATGTCCTCGCGTGCCGCGCGTCCCCGCGCCCCCGACGGGTCCTGCCCGTACGCGTCCATGCGCGCCAGCAGCGCGCACTTGGCGGCCACGAGGCGCGCGGCGCGGGGGCGCAGCGCGGGCGGCGTGCCCTGCACCAGCGCGGAGCCGTGGACGAAGCCCTGGTGCGACGCGGCGGCGGTGGAGGAGAACCCGGCCAGCGTGCGGCGCTTGGCCCCCAGGACCAGCAGGTTGCAGGCGGGCATGGCGGCCAGTGCCAGCAGGCCCCCGGCCAGGCCCATGCACTGCGCCGCGATCTCGGTGCCCACCGCCGCCGACAGGTTGGGCGCGATGCGGTCCATGCGCAGCTGCACCAGGCGCAGCATCAGCGCCTTGTCCGCCGCCAGCCGGCTGATCATCGCGCACGCCTCCTCCACCCGCCTGGTGAGGGGGGATTTGTTTTTTGGTGGGTGGTGGGTGGGGGGAGGGGGGGAGAGCATGACATGAGATTTTGATCGACCGTGTCGAGGATGCCACAGGGAAGCCCAGGGGACTGGCTGACGCGCGGGCCCCCGTCCCAGCACCCAGACAGCGGCGCCCAGCGCTGTCACCCAGGTTGCCTCACAGGTGTGCAGAGCCTGTTCTCCTCTCTCCTACAACATGGCACGCTCCGGATCTCCACCCGAATGCTACTCCCCGGGGCCGTACAAACCCCCTTTTCCCCCCCACTACCACACACCCACACCCAAACAATCTTCCCGCGACTCATCACAGCATTCCCCTTTTCCCCACCTGAGCTCCTCCTCGCTCAGTGCTTTGCCTGCCGTGGTGGTGGCGGTGACGGTGACCACCATGACGGTGGCGGGGGGCAGCAGTGCGTCGAGGTCCACGGCGGTCACGTCCAGCTCGTTCCCGATGGCCGCCACCACCGCCGCGTAGTCCAGCGGGTTTTGCACCAGGGACTCGAGCTCCGGGAACTTGGGGCGGTAGTGGTCCCGCAGGAAGTTGTACACCGCCGCGATCTCCGCGTCCACGTCCACCGACAGCTGGTTGCACTGGACCAGCAACCTGTGTTTTGGGGAGGGGGGTTGGTGGGCGCAGGGGAAGAGGAGGGTGCATGTCTGGAACTTGGGGCCACTGAGAGAATGTCATGGCGAAAAGGGAACGGGTCACACCCTTGGGACGAAGAGTCCGGCACAGTATCTGGTCCCCAGCACGCAACACCAATCACCCGCGCACTCGCTCACTTGTAGGTGGGGTCGTCCTCGGTGGGGCCGGACCAGGCCTGCTGCTCGCTGGTCCCGGCCTCATCATCAGCCAGGGCCTGGCGAGTGGCCTCCAAGATGCACTGGTATCGCTCGGTGGTCACTAGGGTGGCCACGGCGGAGAGGTCGTCGTAGTGCAGGTTCTCGACATCCGGCATCTGGAGGGGGGGGAGGGGGGGGGGGGGTTCGCACGGCCTTGGGTGATCATGCCGTCGCTCACGACCAGGGCATGCGACCCGGCATGCATGGATTTTACGCAATCAACCCGATGATCCAGGACTACGACGCCCTCTCACCGCCTCCTCGCCATCGCCCTGCTCTTGAGGCGCACCCACGTCCTCCGGCTCCTCGTCCGACAGGTCATCCAGGTCCGCCAGGAACGACTCTGCGAGCGTTGCAGCCCCCGTCGCCATCCCCAAAAGGTTCTATGGTCCCGCTCAGATCCGGCGACAAGTCTCCCTTCGTTGGTATTTACGAGAAGTCGCAGACTCCTCCCTTGCCGAAGCTCAACGCCCAGGAGATCCCCAATGTCGGTATTCACTGGTGTAGTATGGCATGCATGTATCGCAGAATGCACTAATGTTTCGTCAGGGATGCTGGAGGACGACGTGATGCCCGTGTTTACTCTTGTGCACGATCTCGCGCCCGGAGGGAATTATCTCAGCTTCACCTCTAGAGAGTGTGGCCTGGCTGGCTGCCCAGCTGGGACAGAACGCTGAACATGACAACTCGCGGGCAGTCCAAGACATTCATGCGATGAGATGATCTCTAGGGTTGTGGTGAAGCTTGTAGCGATGGGGACAAAAAGGGTGAGGCAGTTGCCGCTAGGTAAAGGGGGTAGAAGGGTGCGGCAGCGAGCGACAGCCACCGCGAGGGCTGTTCACCGACGACTCCAGCAACGGGAAGGCTTGCAGCGTGTGCAGGCAGAAGGTGCCCCTCAGGACGTGGCACGCCCTGTATGCAGCTGGTTGATTTCGCAGCCAGGGTTTCCAGGGGCCGGCGTGCAGGCTCGCCATGGCACGCAGGGTCCTCACTCCGCCAGTGAGCGCAAGTCACATGTCCTTGGGCGTCTGGTGTACGAGCAGGACCGGGATGGAGGCGTCCCTCGCTCCCACCCTGCATGCGCGCATGGTTGGAAGGAGGTTGCAGTTGGGCGGGCATGGCCTTTTAGGTGGCAATGATGTGGAGGCTGGACCGTGACTGTACCCGGCAAGGGCTGGCAAAACCCCGCAGCGCCTGCTCGCACTCGGGCCGGTCCCAACCTCCACCCCCCTTGCCCAGCTCACCCTTGCGTCCTCTGCAGCCTGGATGTAGGGCTCTCAGACTCCGCATGCACGTCGATCTTGATCTGCACCGCATGCTCCTGCGCAGCATGCTTTGGCACGGACGCCACCTTCCGTGTGCGCTTCTTGGCCTGTCCAGGTGAGGGGGACAAAGGGTGAGGGATTGCCCTCTGGGAGTGTGTGAGGGGCATCGTGTGATGCCACCATCCTACGACACCGCGCCTCAAAGCTGCCCATGGCGGTACCTCTCTGCCTACACCACTCCCACCACCCTCGGCGCCCACTCCCACGTACCCCCCCCCCACCCCACCACACACACCGCACGCCTTCTCCCCGCACATCCTCCATTCCTACACCTGAGAGTAGGCCACGACCCCGGCCACGGTGATGGTGTAGCCCAGCGCACTCATGGCGTTCACGGGGTTCTGGAAGTAGAGGACGGAGGTGACGACGGCCACCACGCCCTTGGCGTTCCCCAGCACCTGGGGTGGGGGCAGGGAGACATCACGCCTCTGGGGTGCGGAAAAGGGACGAGGCATCGGCAGGACTTTGCTCCGCCACCCAGCGCACGTCATCCCCAGTACCACGCAGCAGTGGGCCACTGGGGATCACCCTCCCCTCCCACCTGAAGCGTGAGCGCCGAGGTGTACTTTGTGACCAGGAAGTTGGTGAGGTTGACAAAGTACGCCATCCCGCTGTTCAGGATGAGCAGCATCCAGAAGCCTGCACGGAGAGATGGAGGAAACCGGAAGATGGTTTGGGTTCGTGCGCAAGGGTTGTGCATTGGCATGGTGCTCAAATGCATGCAGGCCGATGAGAAGAATGTGATGGCATGGGACATGCACAGCCAGCAAGCGAGCCATTTTGTAGTTTTCTCATGATGCCGAATGGCAGGGTGGCACTCCTCACAAAAGGTCAACCCCTACATTGCCACACGAATTCCACCTCCACCCCCCATTTCCTCCCCATTTCACCCCCAACCAATCCCCCCCACCTGGCTGCCTGCCCATGACGAGCGCTGCCTGCAGGGCCCCCGCCTCTGCCGTGGCCGTGACGGGGACGAGGAGCACAACGGCGATGGGGGCCATGTACAGTAGGAGGCTCATGGAGTCCATGCGGTCGGCGAGGTCGTCCAGCATGATGCTCTGCAGCACAGACTTGAGCGCGCGGCCGGCGGTGGCGGTGACGCAAGCCAGGAAGCCCACGATCTCAAAGCTTGGCTCCGCGCCCGACGCGATCACGATGCCCACCACCACCGGGACGAGGGAGAGGTAGACCGCGCGCGGCTCACGCTGACTCAGCATGAGCACGCTCAGCGCAGCGGTGAAGGCGGGCGTGGTCGCGCCGATGGCCTGGTTGAAGGACACAGGGATGGTTTTCAGGCTGACGTTGCCCAGCACGACGGTGAAGCAGAAGATGGCGGCCAGCAGCGTGATCTTGGCCATCTGGGGCCGGGAGGCGATGGGCTGCACGGGGATGAGGCGGCTGGCGGCCAGTGCGCCGCCCAGCAGGCTGCAGGCCACCATGTGGCACAGTGTCAAGAAAATGGGGTACCTGGAGGGGTGTGGTGGAAGGGCGGGGCGGGGGGGGGTGATTGGAGGAGGGGGTCAAAAAGTGTTGGCCTTGGAGGGAGTCGCAGAGACGCAGTGGGGACAAGGATGGTGGATTGCGTGACGCAGACCATCATCAGAGGAAGCCTTCTGACTTCTGTGTCATATATATTATGTGCCACAATTCGCAATTGTATGTGCTGGGCTGCAGGCATGCACAGGGTCGTGCAGAGGTGTGCAGAGCCTTCATCACAGATGGGGGTACACAAGCACCCTGCCCAGCTGATGACACCGGTGACCGTGCAGAGCTCATCCTACGAAAGCAATGGCACAAACAGACCTGAAATTGAATATGCTGAGCAGATACTTGTTGAGGAGGATGACGCCGATGTTGGAAAAGTACCTGGGAGCATGCAGGGGTGGAGGAAGGGCTGAGTGTCCAAACACATGCGCAATGACAGAGAGTGGGACGAGAGGCCACGCGGATGCCGCACGCATCGGCAAAAGGAGATTCAGGGTGCTTGGATGCGGGATGCAGCGGCACCACCCCTCACTCACCATCCTGCTATAACCACTCCCGTCGCGGTGCGGGACATGGCCCAGGCGCCGGGCCGGGGACAGCAGATACCTGGAGTATGATCTAGGTGTACTGTCAAGGAATGACTGTCTCCAAGGTGGATTCAATGCCCAGATGGCCCGGCGTGCTCTGATCCGGAGTAGGGCATAGCTTCCGAGCACAGAGGGTAAGGCGGGCGACGAGGTTCTATTTCGGAAGGACTTGTGATTTAGCCCAATGCATCGAGTTCTCTTTTTCGTCTGGGTTGTCTGCGGACAATGGCAGAAGGTGGTAGCGCTGATCCTGCGGTGCTCAGCTTCAGGTGGTTGAGGATGACGATGCGCAACTCACGCATTTCGCGGAGCGGGAGGCGACTTCTCAGGCACACTCTTCAATCTGTCCAAATGCGAGATGATGTCCCCTCATGGATTACTTCAGCACTCCTAGGGGTCAATGTGCAATATGTACAACTCAGTCGTCGATTACTCAAGGGTACATACCGCCCAAAGCGTTGGGCTGCTGCTACCTAGGGTTCTTAGAATGGGATCTGCACTGCTTCGCACACAATGGATCGTTTGCATGCTTTTTTGGACCTCCAACCGCGCAGAAGCCGCGCTGATAACCTTGCATGAGAGTTGCCAAGGGCTGATGGTGTGATCTTCTGCACTTGTCTGTAGTAAGCGCTCCTTGCCCGGTCTATGAGATGCCGATCATCGATCGTTCCACGTCTTGTTCACTTGAGACACTATTGTGGAAGATTTTCCAAGCTTGTATCTCCGCCTTGTATTCCATGCTGAAACCTTTCCCTATGGCTTCCTGACCCTGCCCACCCCAGTCCCTCCCCCGACTACTGAATCTGAGCGGAAGCCGAGCACAGTCGTCCAATCCACCAACCCCGCCTGCGCACCGGGTGAGGGAATTACCCGCGCCGGTTGCACTGCATAGCAACTCCCTCTGATACCTATATTCGATGATGATGACTACCACCACAGTGACGAGGGTCGTCGTCCGCTCGCTAGAGACCGGTCCCTCCATTGTCTCCCAGTTCCGCCGACACGTTTCGAGTAGCGGGTGCGCACATACTGGAGAGGATACAACTGGTATCTCCATGATGTGGGTGATGCAGCATCGCGTGGAGTGAGGTCATGGACCCCACGTTCTTCGTTCATGTCGAGCCAAAGGTGCAGTACATCTGTCCCCTAGCAGGGAGGAGACGGGCAGCGGTGATGACCTCCCAGGTGATGGGCGAAGGGTTTCGTGGAGTCTCAACTTCGGGGAGGAATCTGGGTAACGAAAGCTTCTCGATCTTCTAAGTTGTTTTGTGATCCCCGGGATTCACCGACGTCGATGACACATCCACTGCCTCAACACATAACCCAGATGCTGATGCCAATACTCATTCCAGCAACTTCCCCACTGGCAAGGGGGTGCGTGCATGGAAGAGGATGGCTTGAGGCAGTGTAGCTCAGGGACGCTGCAGGGCACACACTTGTAAATGCATTTCATCTCCATGTCAGCCTGCTGTGTGCACCTCTCTTCTTCCTTGGTCGCGCAGGAGCACCCTCGCCCAGACGTCCCAAAGCCAGACAGCCCCGATGATGTTGCACCAGAGGATCTGGATGGCCCCAAAAGCCTCTCGAAGGATGATGTACAGCGACTGAGGGACCTGGAGTGATGGAGGACCCCAGTATTGTTGTACGGTCAAACCACACCACAACATGAGACTTGAGCGTGCTTGACCTGTGGCTCCTGCCCCAGCCCATTCTCCATCCCATGCAGCCAGCAGTTTTGTGAAGCGCCCCTCGTGTATCGTGCACAATACATTTCAACCGTGGTCGGTGCCCATGCGAGATTCACCGTGTACCCTCTACAAATCCCGTATGGCCCCTTGATGTTTGCCGGTGTCCGGAGTCGGTGCCCCACCCATATTAACAGAACAGGAAGGTAGAGTTTGAAGAGGGCTTCAGCATGCGTGCCGCCCGTTGCCTGCCGACGACGCGCTCGAGACGCAGTGCGTCCAGCGCAGAGAAGAGGACGGTAATGGTGGGCAGGCCGCCCGCCTCGCTCTCCTGCACCTGGTTCAAGATCTCCTCATAGAACTGGGGGTGGGTGGGCAGCTGGTAGAACACCGCATCCTGCGTGGCAGGGGAGGCTGGCTGTGTGAAGGCATGGCAGGGTGTAGGGGATGGGGTTGTTGCACTTCCATGCCAGGTACTGGTCGGCGCATGTGGCACTTTGGACACACTCCAAACTATGCGTACCCTGGCGGCCCCATCTGCTCACGAGGTACCGTGCCCCCCTCCACTACCACCCTCACCTGGATGCCGGGTGTCCTCCCCCGGTTGTAGAACTGGGCTCGCTCGGTGTAGAGCAGGATCTTACGCCGGCCCTGCCTAAAGTAGGCGCGGGCGCGCGCCGCATCCCCGCTGTCGGTGTATTCTGACAGGAGCAAAAGGGAGGCGTCCTCAGCTCGCAAAAAGTTGCGCACCCTGTGCAGCGATGGATGGATTTGGGGAGTGGGGAGTGGGGAGTGGGGTGCGTCGAGGTTTGGAGGAGGCACGAGCCCAGGAGGGTGCTTGGTATCGGACGAACAGTGGGCAATGCCCATATTACGTCCTTCACATAATTCTTCGTCACTCCCCCCTTGCCGACCACTTGAAAACCGCCCCACCCCTTCCCCTCTGCCCCAGTATACACACAGCTCCCACACCTGACAAAGTCAAAGTAGGCGGGCACGTAGATGAGCTGCCCCCCGCCCCGCCCGTTCTCCTTGACGCGCGGCCACACCGACTCCTTGAAGTGCTGGAAGCGCAGGTCCGGCTCCTCGGCCGGCGCGCAGCGCGGCAGGCGCTCAAACTCCTGGCGCAGCTGTGGCAGAACACGGGCCAGCACCCCGCCCGCCCCCCGCGCCTCCAGGCGCAGCGCGCCTGCGTGGCAGGCGGCGCAGCGCCGCATCAGCGCCCCCATCTCCGGCGCGGCGAGGCTGCTCAGCACTACGGTCTGGCGGTAGTGCCGCGCGCGCCCCGCCAGCTGCCACTCCCGCACCCGCATAATGTCCACGTCGTGCTGCTGCCTGGGCGCCGCATTCAGCGCCTTGAAGACTGCGTGTGTGTGGAGGAAAGAGTGGATGGGGGACGGTGACGAGGAGGGAGCACCAAGGGAGGCGGGTGCAGGTGGCAGGAAGGTGGTTGAGGTGCTGAGACCGACACAATGTGCCAGGCGGTATACGTCTCAGGGAGACAACTCCTCCAAGGTGCATGCACACCACCTCAAACAGTGCTTGGCAATCCTCCTCACCACCCATCATCACTACCCTACCCCTGGCCACCCACCCCCAAACAAAAGCACAGACCTGTGACGGCGTGCTCCCAGTTCTGCATGAGCACCACGTCGGCACGGTCCATGACCACCAGCTCCAGGGAGGAGAGGAAGTCGGCGCCCTCCCTGTCTGCCGGGTCGGTCAGCTTGGTGGCCAGCGCCAGGGGGCTGGCCACGATCACGTCGGCGGTGTGGAAGTCGGCGTACAGCTTCACCGTCCCGCGCATGAGCCGGACGCCCAGGCGGAAGTGGTCGTCGGTATTGCCGGAGAAGAGCGCGCGGTGCTCCGGCGGCTTGCGCGCCAGCGCCGCCGCCTGCGGCGCGGCGAAACCCTCCTCCACCTCGAACTCCTCCTGCAGGCGCGCGCGGTGCTGCACGCTGTCTGTCGGCGCCCCCGCCAGCGCCAGCTCGGCCAAGCGCTGCACCGCCCGCAGCGCCATGTTGCGCATGGGCAGCAGCAGCAGTACCTGGAGGTTTTTGTGGGTGGGTGGGTGTGGGGTGGGGTTTAACAAGGGGAGTGAGACTCGGGGTGGGGTGCAGGGAAAAGACCCATGAGTGCAGCCAGGTGATGTACCCATGAGCAGCATACTCGTTATGTCCGTATGCTCCAGAAGGCCTGCCACATGATACAACCCGCTGAAGAGTATACACAACCAACACACCGGGCGGGTAAGCTGGAAGACCTGCCAGGACACCCACCCCACCCCTGCACACCGTGGGACGTGTGAAGCCTTGATCCCGCGGAGGGTCCAGCTCGGGATTGGTCTTCAGGCGCTCATTGTTCTTCCGGATGCGGTCGGCGTTGGAGGCGCAGTGTTGCAGGATGTGCAGCAGGATCGCGTCCAGCTCCGGGTCCGGCACAGCTGCAGGGTGAAGAGGGGATTGAGGGGCTCGAGGGGTGATGGTCTCGCAGCGGACTGGAGTCTCTGCATGCACTGACCGGGCATGTCCTGGGGCGATTCAGGGGCAACGAGCGGGGTGCAGTGGAGACGTATGTCACCAAACCCTCTGGACCTGGTCGATGCACCCCGGGCACCGCAAGGCAAGGGACTAACCCCCTGCCGGTACCTGGGTCGGCTGAGGTCGGGTAGGGGCGGGCCAAGTGCAGAATGTCTGCCTGGGAGGAGAGGAGGGCAAAGAGGCCCGCCTGGCACCCGCTGGCCAGCTCGGCACCGGCTGTCGCGCCCTGCACCGTGCGCCAGCGGGTCACCAGCCGCTCCTTGATGCCGTAGCTCGCCAGGCTGGTCGAGGGAGGGAAGACCGGGAGCCGGACGTCGTCGCTCGCGAGCAGCTGCGCCTCGGGCCAAATGCGGCCGACCTCGGACTGCACGGCCTTGGGGGCAGGGTGCAGGGGCCGAGACCCCGGAGCCAGCGACGCCACCTCATCCTCGGTCAGGACCCTGGTTTTACGAAGGCATGTGCATGTGATGATGCGTGACTCGGAGGCAAGGAGCACGCTGGCTCTGGGTCCATCCTCAAACCTCCACCTGGCGTGGAGTGCCCAGGATGGACGGTTTATTTTCCAGGCCCTGCATCCCCTGACAGGCCACCACACATCCACACCTCTCAAGGTGGAGCTGGACCGTGTCGGTAGCCAAAGTCTCGAACGTAGAACCTCCATCCCGCTTCCCATTCGCAGTCCTCGAGTCTGGGTCGGGAGCTGGTGACTCCTCCGCCGCCCCATCCTCGCTCTCGTCCTCGCTGGCGGAGGTCTGCGCATCTGCTGGCTCAGCTGTGTCGTCATCAAGGGCTTCCGCCGTAACACCCTTGGATGTTGCGACCGAACCATTGGTGAGCTTCTCACGACTGGCTTCGGCGGCAAGATCCTCTTCACTCGTGGCATCAGTGTCAGAGTCCAGCTCCTCGTCGGATGCAGGCTCCTCGCTGTCGTCCTCTTGCGAGCTGGGCCCCACATCGCTCTCGCTATCATCGTCTGCTAAAAGAGATACCAGGGTCTTGTACGCCCCGCCGATGTCGTCGGCGTCCAGGGCACCCCCCTCCTCTTCATCGTCATCAGACTCCTGCCGCACTTTCTGGGGGACTGCGAGGCCAGCAGCCTTCTGCTCGCGCAGCAGTTTCCGCCGCTTTCGGGCGGCTGTGCGTGTGTTCTGGGTCGGGAACACCGGAAGGGACACCTCTGGTCTGCTTCGACGCAGGCGGTGCTGCAGAACGTCTGCCAAGCCCATGACAACTCTGCAATGGGAAGGAGTGCAGGAGAGGGCCGGGTCGCTCAGCATCAAGGAAGCTAAAATTATCGATACATTACACTGTGCGCAACCTCATACATACTTTACGTCAAAATGCATCCTTCAGCGCACCAGTGGGGCCGTGGGAGACTCAGAGTTCGTGCATCATGGCCGTAAGGCGTACGGAAATCCCTATACACGAGATGGCAATTCTCTTTGCCAAGGTGCGGGAGGATGCCCAGCACGTATGATGGACTGACAGAGAATTCTTATATGTTCGCATGCCTAGCCAGCTGACATTCCATGCAGTGCCACTCCTTGCCTATGTCCTCGCTCGAGCTCCGCCGTGCGCGCGCGCGCCGGCGTGGCTCGAGTTGCTGAGGGCGCCCAGGCTGGCGATCGTCTCTGCATGCATGGCACAGTATATGGAGGTGGGCGCGTAGTTAGACAGGATGAATTGAATATAAAGTATAGTAAAGCGTGACGGAGTACGCCTATTTTCGTTCTGGACCATCGCCCACAGGAGCAGGGACGACAACATGTCCGCGTGCGTTGCTCTCCTGGTGTGAGAGGGAGGGCAAAACCCCTTCATCCAGTCGAAGACAGTCGCCAGCGTTCACCAAGCATCGGATTTACTTGAGGCTTACTAAGCGCGAGGGGCCTGGTAGAGATCGCCATGGCGGAGAAGACGCACCGCAAGAAACAGTCAGGCACCAAGGCGCAGAAGAGGAAGAAGGCCGTGAACAAGAAGAAGGGGGTCGATGACAAGGTAAGTCTCGTCCTACCCGGAAGTCATTGGCGTCGTCTGGGTGGCACACGATGAGAGTCGGTGCTGGCTGAGAGGATGTCAGGAGCACTCCCTGCACCATGGCAAAAGAGTTCACTGGCCTGTGCTGTTGTCCGGCCTCGTAGGTATGCCTTGACTATGTTCTTGTATTAATTCTGTACACAGGAACGCAAGAAGAATCCCAAGGCCTTTGTTTTTGCCTCTCGGGGCCGGGCAAAGATCCAGCAGGCCCGCACAGCCGACCGAGACCAGAAGCGCATGCATGGTGAGGAGCCGCTATATGTGCAAAGAGGATTCATGTGCAGAAGGAACAGATGATATTTCTACCCTCAGGCGTGCAACAGGGAGCAGCATATCAAGATCCGACCCAAAACCTCGTGCAGTGCCTGCTGTGGAGAAGACCCCATCTGAGCCTCCTCCCTTCACTGTGCTCGTACATGGGCCCCCTGGGGTATGTTATCAACACTATTTCATTTTTGGGTAGAGGAGGACTTAACTTTGAGAAATGGGCATGCTCTCAGCGCCTGCGTTTAACAGGGTCTGTATGATCTCAGTGGCATGAGCCAACCTCAAACTTATTACCTTTCTGCAATCACACCAGGTGGGCAAGACCACCCTCATCAAGGCCCTCATCAAGCACTGGACGCGGCAGGATGTCAAGGACGTCAAGGGACCCATCACTTTGGTGGCTGGGAAAGCCAGGAGGTGGGTGATGTTATGTTTGGTCGGTTGCCTGCCTTGCCCTCCTACCTGCATTGTGCACCCTGTTCGACCCTTTCACTCTCCGTCTAGGTCCTGGGAAGCGCTGGGTACCAGAGTGCTGCACACCCGGCCAACCAGCCCCACCTCATCCCTCATTCTCCCTGGCTGCTCCCCACAGGCTGACCTTCATCGAGTGCCCACAGGACCTGTCGGCCACCATCGATGCATCCAAGTACGCTGACCTGGTCCTCCTGCTGGTCGATGGCGCCTTTGGCTTTGAGATGGAGACCTTTGAGTTCCTCAACATGCTCCAGGTGGGCCCTGAGCAGAGAGTACATGGGCAGATATTGCATTGCAGGCAGGGAACCAGTTTATATGGAGCGCCGAGCTCCCAGGCCCCAGGCCCGCTGGGCAACCCCGCTGGTCTGACACGAGGAGCTGGCTCGTATTGTCACGTTCCAGTTCTTGAGCTCCTGCGCATCATCACCACACTGCCTGTTCTGTGATCCCCAGGTGCATGGCTTTCCTAAGGTCATGGGGGTGCTGACGCACCTGGATGGCTACAAGGACACCAAGGCCCTGAAGAAGACAAAGAAGTCCCTCAAGCACCGCTTCTGGTCGGAGATCTACCAAGGCATGCAGAGCGGATGTGTGGCAGCTGGGCCGGCCCACTGCGGAGCTGCAAAGGGCTGTACTGCACGATGTACCTGAGGGGATTGGAGGACTCTCGGTGTCCAACCGATTGTCCTTTGCACTTGATGCCTGCTGCCCAGTTCCAATTTCCCCCCGCGGTGGGGGAATCCTGTCGGACCCCTACCCTCACACATTCCCCGTCTCCCACTTTTCAAATGGCGCAGGGGCCAAGCTCTTCTATCTGTCGGGGATGAGGCATGGCAAGTACCTGAAGAGGGAGATCCTCAACCTGGCGCGCTTCATCTCGGTGATGAAGTTCCGGCCCCTGTCCTGGCGAATGGAGCACCCCTTCCTCGTGGCCGACAGGTGAGCACAGCATGTGTTTTGGCAGCGGCTGAGGAGGCGGGGGCCAAAAAGGGTGGCAGAAACTGGTACTGTTGGGCATCCCCCGCGAGTACACAAGCCCTGGGCAGGCTGTTTCTTCAGGCCTCTCCTCTCCCACCTGCTGCCGGACACATTCTTCCAATCTTCCTGCTACAGGTTTGAGGACGTGACAGATCCCGCCAGCATCAAGGCGGATCCCAAAGCAGACAGGGACGTCACCCTGTATGGCTACGTCCGCGGCACAAATTGGAGGGCCGGGAGCCGGGTGCACCTGGCAGGCGTGGGCGACTATCAGGCAAGCCATGAGAAGGGAAGGGGAGGGAAATGGCAGGGCTGTGTTCCCAGCCTGGCATGAACTGCTTTGCAATTGCAGGGTTATCGGAGTGCGGTTTGTCCATGGCTTCCTCCGGCCAGTCTATTAGCTCCTGCACTGTCGTGCATGCGATCTCAACAACCTGAAGCTCCCCCATGAAAGGTCACGGCACCCCGCCGTTTGTACACCCCCCCAACCCTCCACCCACCCATCCATCTATTTCACACCCCCAGATTGAGGAGTTGACTCCGCTGCCAGACCCCTGCCCGCTCCCAGCGACCTCCCAGTCCGGCAAGCGCAGGAGCCTGAGCGAGAAGGATCGTCTGCTGTATGCCCCTATGAGCGACGTCGGCGGGCTGCTGTATGATGCCGATGCAATGTATATCGATATTCCTGACTGGAAGGTGGGGAGGCATGTGTTGCGGGGTAAATTTTTGAGGGGAGGTGGGCGTGGCATTTCATTGAGGTGTCTGTTGCAAGCTCCTTGCGCAGCGTCCCTGCACAGTCTCATGAGGCACATGAAGCACAGAATGGATGGCACTCGCTCCTCATGCTGACCAGACCGCTCATGCCCGGTCATTCCACAGGTCCAGTACAGTGCCGCTGGGGCTGCCAACGGCCGGGCAGATGGCGAGACCATGATCAGGGAGCTGGCTTCCACGCGCCACGGCATCGACGAGCAGCTTCAGGGGGCTGAAATCCAGGTGTGTCCGTGTGTGCAGCCGAGGGGAGTGGTTGTGGGCATGTGTGAGGAAGCTGTTAAGAGGATGCTGTGTGAGATCCCTCTGCCCAAATTTGTGAGGGTTTGAGTGTGTGTATGGCAGTTGCCCAGCAGCTCAAAGAATGGGGGCAACACGACTTGCCTTGCATCGCATCAACAGCATTGGCTACCATGCGTATTTCTGTTGGCAGTAGGGTGCAGGGGCTCACCCCAGCACAGACTTATGCCACCCCCATTCCAGCCAGACCCGCGCCATCTCAACACATCCCGCTCACAACATCTCCATCAACAGGTGTTCAAGGGCGCCAAGCCGCTGCCGGCCGACGGCGCAGCCTCCAGCGATGAGGAGGAAAACGAGGACGAGTCTGCGGACGAGTCTGGAGACGAGGCTGCCTCCACAGGGGGCAGTGGCAGCAGCGACGACGAGAGTGAGGGCGGCAGCGACAGCGACGAGGAGGGCGAGCCCCACCAGCGGGATTCCCTGCCAGGCCAGGAGGTGGTGCTGGCTGCAGATGGGCGCCACAGGCGCCGCGCCGTCTTCAGCACGACCCTGGAGCCCCGGGCTGGGTCAGGGGAGAACTCAAGCGATGAGAACTCTGGGAGTGACAGCGACGACGAGCCCGGGACGGCACCAAGGAGCAGAGGTGCTTTGGAGGACGATGAAGAGGGCTCCGACCCGGAGTCTGGCTCCGAGACGACCTCCGACGAGGAGGGCGGCGGCGAGGACGACGATGGCGACGAGGACGAGGAGGGGCTGGGCGCGGCTGCGCGGTGGAAGGCGGCCATGCTGGAGCGAGCGGCCGCCCTGTTCAGCCACCGCGCCGCCAACCTGCACGCCGCGGTGTACGGCGAGCGGGCGGTGGGCCCGCCGGCTTCCCAGCGGCTTCCGCGTGCTGAGCTCGAGGCGCCTAGCAGTGATGGAGACGAGGACGATGATGGCGATTTGTTCCGACCGCGGGAGGCCGTGCGGGGCATGCAGGGCCCTCCCTCGGGCCTGGAGGATTGCAGCCGCGCCTGGGCCGCCTGGGATGCGACGCTTGCCGCCTGGGCCGACGACGCGGCTGTGGAGGGCCTGCGCAACCGCTTCGTGACGGGTGATTGGGCCGCCGCGGAGGAGCGCTCCGCCGCCCGGCCCCGTGACGGCGGAGCTGGCGCGGACGAGGACCCCGGGAGCGAGGAGGAGGAGGTGTACGGCGACTTTGAGGACGTCGAGACAGGTGCCGCGCGCCTGCCTGCGTGCATGTTTGGGGCCTGGGGGCCCTGCACTGAGGGTGGTGGAGCCCTGTCTTGATCATCAGGTTGCAGCCGCCTCGAAGCAGGCCCTGCAGCGTCTGCACTGCGGCCAGACACCGACGTGTCTGGCCACACCCACTCACCCATGACATTGCTGACACCTCTCTCCCCCTCCCTCCTCCTCCCCACACACAGGCGACCGGTTCGAGGGCAGTGCAGACCCTGCCACCCGTGCGGCAGCAGCCGCCATCAAGCTGTCGGCGGAGGAGGAGAGGAAGGAGCTGGACGCAAAGCGAGCCTCCAAGAAGGCTGCCTTTGACGCAGAGTATGACCAAGGTACAGGTGCTTGTTGTTTGTGTGTAGTGGGGGGGATGTGAACTCAACCGGCGGGCCCTGGGTCGCTCTCTTGTTGGGTCTTGCGGTCGATCAGTGGGCTTGGGCTTAGTGGAAGGCGGGTCATCTCACTGTGCGTCGGATCGGAAGCGAGATTCGCCAGAACAATTGTCCATCGGACGCTCTGTATGCATCCAGCGGTCCAGTGCCTGGCACTGACCTTGAGACCCACCTTCTAAGAATCTGCACAAATCCACCTGCGCGCAGGCGGCAGCCGCGGCGTCAAGGATGGCACCGGCGGAGGCAAGGCCTCCTCCAAGACCTCCAAGGAAGATGTCGAGGAGGAGGGGGAGACCTACTACGACGCGCTGAAGAAGGACCTGGCGGAGCGCCAGGCGCGCACTGACGCCGCGCTGAGCACGCTGGGCCCCGACCAGCGCCTCGCCATGGAGGGCCACCGCCCCGGGGACTACGTGCGCCTGCGCTTCCGGGGCCTGCCCTGCGAGCTGGTGCGCCACTTTGACCCGCGCTCGCCCGTGCTGGTGGGCGGGCTGGGGGGCGGGGAGGAGGGCGTGGGGTGCCAGCAGGTGCGACTGAAGCGCCACCGCTGGTTCCCCCGCATCCTGAAGAACCGCGACCCACTGGTCGTGTCGGTGGGCTGGCGCCGCTACCAGGCGCTGCCCGTGTACGGCATGCAGGACAACAACGGGCGGCACCGCATGCTCAAGTACACCCCGGAGCATGCGCACTGCCTGGCGGCGTGGTGGGGGCCGCTGGCGCCGCCGGGCACAGGCGTGCTGGCCGTGCAGAAGCTGCATGGCGAGGGGCGAGGCTGGAGGATCGCCGCCACGGGGGTGGTGCTCTCCCTCGACGCCTCCCTGCGCATCGTGAAGAAGCTGAAGCTGGTCGGCACGCCGCACAAGGCGAGGAGGAGGATGGGTTTTGTTGGGGGGAGAGAACAGGTTGTTGGGGACGGGAAGGGTGCAGCAAGAATGGGGATGAGCGAGCAGCACCCAGAGCCCTGCATGCCCTCAGTACTCCCGGCGATGGCAGGACCATGCATCTGTTCCGCCCAGCCAGTCTCCTATCATCTCACCCCCCCCACCCTCGCCACCTCCGCCCAGATCCTGCGCCACACAGCCTTTGTGTCTGGCATGTTCAACAGCGAGCTGGAGGCGGCCAAATTCGAGGGCGCGGGCATCCGCACGGTGTCTGGCATCCGCGGTACGATCAAGAAGGCGCTGCGGGCGGGGGTGCAGGGCGCCAAGGACGGCACCTTCCGCGCCACCTTCGAGGACAAGCCACTGCTGAGCGACATGATCTTCCTCAGGTGCAGTAGGGTTTCGTTGTATTTGTGAAGGGGCCCGCTGTTTTGGGCGTTAAGCAGGCTGGGGGAAATCATTTGGCGTGGAACAGGAGTGCACTATTGTTGCGTTTGGGACGGGCATGGGCTGGCCCAGTGACGTTTCTGGGTGCCAGGCGGTGGGGTGTTCGCCAAGGGAGAAACAGCATCAGAAGAAAGTGAAGCCCTCAGCCGTTCCACGACGTCGTCCACCTCACACCCTCTGAACATCCCGCAGGGCCTGGGTGGCGGTGGACATCCCGCGCTTCTTCAACCCCATCACCAACCTGCTGGAGCCGCGCGCAGCGCCGGCGCCGCGCGCGCCCAAGCCCAGCAAGAACCGCAAGCGGGAGGAGGAGCCCGAGCGGGAGGCCGCCGCGATGCTGCCGCAGGGGTCGCGGGGCGGCGAGGTCGCGGCCAGGGACCACGGCCGCTTCGAGGCCTGCATGGCCTTCAAGGGCACCCGCCCGGGCATGGTCTTCAAGCTGGGGTCCAGAGGCATGGGGTACTACCAAGACGGCGACGATGAGGCGGCCGCAGCCGGGCCGAGGCTCCAGCCGAGGGGGCCGAGGGGGCGGGCGCGGGCGCGGGCCACGGGGCCGCAGAACCAGGCTCGTGGGTGGGGATGAGGACGGTGGCGGACCTGCGCAGGGAGCAGGGGGTGGGTGCGCCGCGGGAGTCGGACTCAATGTACCGGGCCATCGAGCGCAAGCCGCGCGTGTTCAACCCCCTCAAGATACCCAAAAACCTCCAGGTGCGAGGTTGTGAAGAGAGGAGGGGGGTGGCGTTGGATTGTTTGCTGTGGAATAATGGGCTGCGAGGCAGGCAGGGTGTCAAGGTCGTGGTGGAGGGGAGTGCGTCGGATTGCCATGCACACTATGTGCTGCTGTGGGGGGGTGCGCTCCGTCTTTGTTTGGAATCCAACTTTGGTGACATGGCCCCTCGAGCTGGAACGGGTCTCTCAAGGCAAGCACAGGCTCGGCAGGACAACCACCTCTGCGCGCCTTCAAAGACCAACCTCATCCTTTTTGCACACACAGGCCGCCCTGCCATTCAAGAGCAAGCCCAAGACGGAGGCGGCGCGCAAGCGCAAGAGCCTCGAGCAGCGTCGGGCGGTGGTGCTGGAGCCGGAGGAGAAGCGGGCTGCGACGCTGCTGAACCAGCTGAATGCCATCCGGAACGCCAAGGCGGGGGTGCGCAGGGAGGCGCGGCAGAAGCAGCTCAAGCAGCTGGCCAAGCGCAGGGAGGCCGAGGAGGCGTGGCGCGCGCAGTTCAACAAGGAGGAGCGGAAGAAGCGGTACGTGGAACAGGGCCAGCAGGAGAAACGGGCGGCGAAGAAGGCACGCGCAAACTAGATGACGATGGCGTGGGAGGACGGGGGGCGGTAGGCGCTGCCAGTGGGGCTAAGCGCTACAGTCACGAGCTGAGCACTAGCTCCTTTCCTGCCCCCCATCTCCTTTGTAAGAGCATATCTCCTTGTCAATCAGACACCCCCAAAATCCTGGCAAGCTGCCGAGGAAATAATGCTCACCCAGGAGTGTCATCCCCAGGGTGAAACTGGTTGACGAATGGTCGAGTGTGGAAAATCATGCGGTGAAGGGACCAGGAGATCAGCCGCAGGAGGTGCTGTGCAAGGGAAGGCACGCACAGCAGGGTCCCTGCACAATCGCAAGGCCCTGTCTGGGGAACAAGCCTGTTGCGCGAGTGCATAATCTGTTGACACTCAACCATAAAACCACGTTTGAGACTTATTGTTGTCTATATTTTGATTGCAGTCAGCGCTGGCCGTGGCAAGGGCCACACCTCGTTGATATGGCGGGGCTGCAGAAAGTCAGGCCGTATCAGCTGCAGCTCTTCTTCAGCAACAAGTATGCCTACGCGCAAATCTGGAAGGTATCAGGAGACAAGCACACCGTGGCTGCGGCTGCCTCCACCATCGAGAAGGGGCTGCAGGAGGGACTGGAGTCCACCTCTGACAAAGGAGCCTGCGCAAGGTCGGTTCACGGAATGGCTAGGCACGCCATTGTGCTGTCGCTTAAACGTACATTTGCCCATAGCTGACATAATCTGCATGCATTGGTCTCCGCAGGGTCGCGCAAACCCTGGCGGAGCGGGCCCAGGCTGCCGGCATCGATACCGTGAGCTGGCAACGCAAGCCCCGCCAACGATTCCACGGCAAGGTCGCAGCCTTGGTCACCGGCCTCAAGGAAGCAGGGATCAAGATGATGTAGCACTCGAGCCTCGCAGGCCAGCGGGACAGTGCGTCTGGCTGGTGCCTGGAAAGTGGACATGATCTGTGCTGTAAGCTCTTTACTGCTTTACCATTGCTCTGAACCATGGTACTGTTCATCTTGCTCGCATGTACAACACGGAACAGGCGAGCACGGGGGGAGCACACCACATACAGTCTATTTCTTGCCCATTAACTTGCGGCATTCCTTGCAGTACCACTTCCCCTTTGGCCGGTTCTCGGCCGTGAGGCCGACACACTCAAAATGGAACCACTCGATCAGACACTCCGGGTGCTCGCAGGCTATCATCTCCCCAAACGATATACGCTTGCAGTAGCAGTATGTTGGCTCGGAGGCATCTGCCGCTGCAAGGGCTGCCTGGTACAGCTCCTCCGATGTCATCACATGGGGAGCTATTGGGAGGGGGGGCGGAGAATCAGTGGAAGTGGTGCGGCAGCCAGCGTGCCTCGCAGTGGCGCAAGCATCTCTCTCTGTGCCATTCAACATCTCAGCAAGCCCATCAGCACCCCAGCCTGGCCCACCAACATGTCCACTTAGGCAATGTAGACTCACTTCCTCCATCTTTCCTCGATCGCTTGGCTTCTGCGTCTGTGCCAGCAACCTCTATGGGTGGAAGCCCCAGTTTACTCCTTTCGACAGCAATCTCTGCCAGGGTGAGTTCATCAGTGGGGGAGGGCAAGATTGAGCGTGTGTGTTCCCAATTCCAGGATGTTGGACGTCAAGTCCACACCAGACTGTGGCATCCAACACAACCATATGCCCAAGACTTACATCATCCTCTTCCCCCCCTCCCCGCGCAAACACCTGCATCAAATGTCTTCAGGTCCTTGTCAAGCTTGCGGATGTGTTGATCCACGTAGTCATATATCTGTTGCGCTGCATTTGTCTGCCATGGTGAAGTGGAGAGAGGAGGTCAGGGGAGAGCTCGACAAAGTACAGCGCTGCGAGGCAGCGCACCGCCGCCATAGACCTCCAGATAACGACAGCAGGAACGCCTGACCTTCTCAGCCGACAGCTTCAGTAACTCTGCTGTTGTGTCCTCGATGCGCTGGTCTAGATCAACTGGCTCGTTGCCGGGCTGAGAGGGAGGTGTGGGCCCAGCGTCCATGTCGCCAGCGCCCTTGGCTCGCTTGTTCCCATGCTGCTGTTGCTCGGCGGCCAGCCTCAGCTGCTGCTGGCAGTCCGCCTCCAGCTGAACCTGGAGGCCATGGGCCCGCTCGTCCAGCTCCCGCATGCCCCGGAACCATCGCTCCAGTTCTGCAGGCACATCAGACACACCTGGGAGAGAAAATTTGGTGGAAGGTCTAGTGAGGAAACTACAAGATGATGCTGCGCAACGATGCGCATCTCCACTCCCTAAAGCCAAGAAGCCAGGCAGAAAGGGCAGGGACCCACTTTCTATGAAGGATCGAAGGTAGTTTGTGCTCATCCTCGCGGTCGAAAGGCCGGGAGTGTTTGTCTCACTTCAGAATTGTGCAAGGCTCCACTTCGTGTCTTGTAATTCTTCCCGATGCAAGCATTTGCATCGATCAGAAGTAACTTTGAAGGGGCTGTTGACTCAGGGAGCCACCAACTCGCTGCCATTTTCTCGTATCCACGTTCGAAAACCCCCCAACTGGGCGCGAGAATGGCGGGAAGCATGAGTGGGGAGACAGCCCCTCCCGTCCTGCCGTTCTCCTGCACTTCATCTTGATAAGTCATCGGCTTGGGAATCATGGCTAGCGCACAGTCCCTCATTGTTTCGTGGGCGTATTGCTCAGATTAGCTTGCAGAATGCCACATCTAGCATGGCATCTTGTTTGATTTGCCACAATCTCAATATTTATACAACTGTTTCCCCTCATCATACATTTATGGAGAAGTGCCCAGGACATCAGACTCGCCACACTCGCTGGTGCCCTCAACAGAGGGTGCCTCCTCCTCACCGCCACTCGTGTCAATGTACTGATTGATGGGGAGGGGGCAGCTGGCCACACCATTCTCAACCTGGCAGGAGTAAGAAAGTTGCAGGGGTGATGGTATTGGGCGCCGAATTTGCTCACAAGACTTCACATCATCACAAGCATCGGCCCATTGCTGACGCACTCACACTGCCCAACCACGCAAGCTCCCCCAACTCCAATCACCTTGGCGAATACGAGGGGTAGCGCCGACGCATCGCCCACAGGGAACTTGGCAGCTTTGAAGTGAGAAACCAGGGCCTCAAATCCTTGCACCCTGGCATACGTGATCTCACACACCTGTAGCAGTGGGTCAATGCAGAATGAGTTCCATCAGACTGCCAGCCAACTGCCTTTCCTCCCCACGGTCAACTTTCAAGGGAAGACAGCCCAGTGCACTTTAACACTCCCAGCAGTGAGGCACCCAACACAAACAGTCCGGTGCCGACCCATTGCATCCATCCTGTCCCGTCAACTGCCCAGTATCGTACCTTGGTCGAGCTTTCCTCGGCCCTCCACCGTTCGCCATGATATGTCTGGTAAAACTGTACCATGGCTTCGACAGACAGGAAGTTCATGAAGGCATATCCCAGGTTGCAGGCGTTGCGGAAGTCGACGGGAAGGTACAGGAAGTCAAACTTGCCCCTGTGGTGGGTATCAGCATTGGGAGGAGCATTGGTGAGCGACTCTTGGCCATCGAGGAACGATGAAAAGACGGAGGGGTCCCTTTATACCCACTTCTGCTCTTCCACAGATGCCATCACACCGGAAAACTCACTTGCAGCCTCCTTGGTTGACATGGCGCAGCAAGAATGACTGGGTGTACTTGTTGGGGATGTTACGGATCATGACCGTTGTCCACAGTCGGTCACCCCGGGGAACGCTGGCTTTGCTGGCATCAAATACATACTGCAACACAAGGGTTGCATGGGGGGTGGGGCAGGGGGGTTGGGGGGGGGTGGGGGAGTTGAGCGGCCCGTTCCCCATAGCAGGGGGGAGATCAAAGGCCTCTGGGTTCACCCGCTGCAGGGAGTTGAGGACAATGGTACCGCACTTGCCATCGGCTGTCACAGTGTTGCCGCCCCTGCAGAGAAATGACGTGAGCATGACCCATCACCCCATCGAATCGCACCTCGCTGGCATTGTAAGCCCCTCCCGCACGATTGCTGCGTGCGATGCGGGCCGACGCGCGGCGAAGCGAGGAGCTCGAGCTGCTGCGGGGCAGTTCTGTGGGTGAGCTGGCCTGCAGCAAGGGGGCAGGCATGGGGTGAGGGAGCCGAGCTGCGTCTCGATTGAGCACCAAAAACGACGCAGGCTGTAGGGCCACGCGTCGGAGGGGTTAGGGTCCGACGGGTGTTGTGCCGCCCGTGCTCAACTGTGTGTCCACCTACCCTGCTGAGGGAGAGTGCAGACAGAGCAACAGCGCCTGCATCCACAGACTGGTTGCTCCCCTGATGACCGGGGTACTGAGGGTGATAGTGGTAGCCTGGGTGGGGTGGGGAGAAACCCTGGGGCGGGGAGTACCCGTGCGGGGAGTAGGGCGGCGAGCCGCCATAGCCGGGGGCCGCCATCAGGTAGTGGCCATGCTGTGGCGGGGAGGAGCCATAGGCGTCCACCCAGGGCGCCCCAGGCGGGGGCGAGCCGCCATACATAGGGGTGGAGTAGCAGTGGGGAGAGGACCCGGGCGTCTCCATGTAGTAAGGATGGGGCACTGTGCGTGTATGTCGGGGGAGGGCGGGGGGGAGGATGACACGCCGGAGGGATCGGGTTGGGACGCAATCCCAGACGTCATCACTCTAAACGAGTCAGCTTCAGGGTGCACATGGGATCCAGGCACAGAACCCATAACTTCTGCACTCATGAAACCTCACCATGCACCCAAGGAGCAGGGACTGCAGCCTCCGATTGAAAGCTGCATGGGAAAGGGCCGGGATGTGACGTGTGAGAACATCGGCCCTGCCCAGTTGACATTGCCGTGCTGCTTGCTCACAAGCCTCCGATGCTGTTCTGGAGCTGCACTCGTCTGAAACCCTGTCGCCACGCCACTTCTACCACCCCTACCTTACCTGCCAAACTGGTATGCCACCAGTGGCACACCGTACTGCCCGGGAGGGGGACTGCCAGATCCCAGACTGTGCAGTCGTTGAGGAGACCTGCCCTCGTCCGGCCCCTCCTCAGGCCTGGGAGCATGGTGTGAGGTGCCGTGGGCAGACGCCCCAATGTCTGGAATGTCATCTGCCCCGGGGTGCTGGCCTGCCCCACCCGAGGTGGGAGGGGGCCCCGGCAGGTGGCCTCCGTCGGACCCAGAAGGTGGAGAATCAATGCAGGTCTGCGGCGTGGGTGGATGGAGGCGGCATGGGGCGCGTGCAGGGGCACCGGAGGGGCAAGGATCACAGAGAATCTCGCACGTGGGGGACATGCGCAGCCCATCGACACCAGCCAGCACGACTTCGAGCGCGCTCATGAATTCACCTCTGCGGGTTTCTCCTTTGAAGCCACAGCCACTTTGAGAGGCGGTGGTTTCATCTGAATGTCGACCATGGGATGAGCTGGCGTATCAGCCCAGAAGGTGGTTTAAGCCGGCTGCCAGCGGATCGTTGAACACGGAGGTTTCCTAACTGCAGCGATGAGTGGGTAATTCAACTCGATTGTCTCCACATTCAGCGTGGCACCAGAGGACGCAGAGGGGTCCAATGGTGCGCTGCCGTTGCTGTGCGGGTCCCACGACGGAAAACCCAGTCGGGGCTGAGAGTGCCTGAAAATGGCGTTCCTGATGGCGTAGACCGGCACGACAACTCTCCAAAGCCCACAGTGCTCCATTCAGATGCATGACGACCAGACTTTTGATACTCTGGGGGTGGGGCATCATTCTTCGCAGCGTGACCCGGAAAGAGCATATTCGTGGCCCCTCGACGATGCCGATGGGAGCACTGGTGCATTACACAGGCGAACATGAAGAAATAATGATGGTGATTGGCTTTATTGATCTTTCTTGGTCTCAACGTTCTCGCCGCTGACGGGATCGGGGGCCGGGCCATCGGTTTCCGAAGTTCCGACACCGTCTGTCCCGGCGATCGCTGCGCCCACTCCCTCGACCTGTGCATCCACGGCCGGGTCGCCCTCCTCGACGTATCTGCGCAATGGGTTGGGGCAGCCATGGTGGGTTGTCATGCGACGCAGGGAACAAGGTCCATGCCGTGGACAGCGTCTTTCTCGTGCAGTAGGGAGCATTCCTGGAGGGACGGGTGAGAGGCATGCACGTCACAAGGGTATTGACCCTTGGGGCACCTACCCGAACTCATTTGCACGCTTCTTGTCCACCCGGTAGATCCAGCGCTGGTAGAGGTACACCAGGAACACCACATCGTCTCGGAACACTGCAGGATGGGGGGTGAGGTGTGTCGGAAGTTGCTTGCAGCCCGCAGTGTCCAGCCTTGAAAACTGCACAAGGCCCGACCAGCATGGCAGGGGTCGCGCCATGCCAGCAAACCAAACCTCTCCCTGCACAGGCCCGACCAGCACCTGATAGCCGGTGCAGGAGGGGCATCTTGATCACAAAGGCAAAGAGGTCATCGATGATGGTGTTCAGGAATTTGTATGACATTTGACGCCTGGCATGGGGATAAGAAAGGGGTTTGGTGAAGTTCAGGAATGACCTAGTCGCCACACTGGATTCTTGAGAGCAGCCTCATGCGCACGGATGCCCCGAGGCACCCTGAGTGACTTCACGACCAGCTTCAGGCCCGTCGCACAAGGGAACACACTGCCTCTGGGATGCTCCCACCATGATCACACGTGACAACGCAGCGCCAGGATGTAGTGTCATCCCTCTGATGCACGACTGATCCCGGCTGGCACCTGCAGGCCCAGAGGCCCCCATGACCCTACCCCGTTTCCCAGAAAAAGCACGCATCCAGCCCACCCAACCAATACAAAGCCAACCCTTCCGACTCACCAGGGCAGGTGGGCTACGGACTTGAGCTTATAGTTCAGGTACAGCTGCGGGCACATGAGAATGAAGCCAAAGGTGTACACCGCGCCCACCAGCGAGTTGAGCACCCACGAATACCAGGACTTGTGCGTCTGGTAGACCAGCGCGTAGACCGCGTACCCCAGGATCAGGGGGTACAGCGCGTAGGACAGGTACCGCATGGCCTCCGCGTCATACTCGTCCGTCCTGGACTGGGTGTAGGACAGCCGGTCCTTGAAGGCGATGCGGGGGAGGAGGGCGCCAGGGGGAGCGCGTGACGCTGATGTCCATCGCCTTGGTCACCTGGCGGGGGGTGGATGACTTGGGGGGGTGCTTGGTTGGGTGGGGTGAATGAAGGGAGGTGTCAGACTCATCCGTGCATGCGGTTCAGCAGCGTCAATCAGTCTCCAGACGATTGTTGTTCAATGATTTTTGTGTTGAAATCACATGGCAGGGGCGTGCAAGCAGGGCACCGACTGCCAGGCAGGTCAACGCCTCAGCCTGGCTGCCGCCCAGCACCTGCAAACCAGGCGGCCAACACACACCATTCACCTTCCAGAGTTCGATGGCGGTCCCCATGCCGGAGGAGAAGAGGATGACGTACGACGTCTCGTTGTCTAGAAGGTACAGGAAGATGATCAGCTGGCAGCCGGCATTGATCATGATGGTGCGCGCCTGTGGGGGGGAAACGCGAAGGGGACAGATCAGCAGCGATCTAGGGTGTGAGGAGGTCATTGCTCAAAGCCAGAGTGCACAGAGGCCATGGGGCAGTGCAATTTGGCTGCTACCTTGACAAGAACACCAAGATCACTTCCCAGCCTGTTGCAGCATGAATACCACTCACCGACAGCCCGACCATGGACTTGTTGTTCTTCCAGAATCCAATGTCGTTCTTGAAGGCCAGCATGTCGAACACTGTGGGCAGGCCAGAGGAGGATGTTGGAACCCTATCTCCCTAGCCAGGATGACCAATGGACCCCAAGAAGATGCAGATTCACTCTTGGCAACAGGGAATATCATGTCGTGCCATTAGCCTAGAAAAGGGTCAACACCCCGCTCACGCGAGTGCAGGAGGGACACTGCCATGGTCAGCGCCAGGAAGAATGGGTTGCCTTCCAGGAAGATGCGCTTGACCTGCGCATAGGGGCATGAGAGGCAATATGCATACAGGGCATGGCGTGGCTAGGCAGGGGGGGACGGAGGCTCAGCACACGTGCCAGCTGCACTGCATGAATGCGCAGCCGCCCGCCACTGTGTCTCCATGCACAAGTCCTAAGCCTTCTGCAACAGCCCGCATTCCCTTCATCAGCACGAATCCTGACCCACCTCGTCAGTCTCTCCGTCCGCCATAGATCCCCACGACTTTTGCATCTGGAAGGACTGCTCCATCTGTCAGAGCGGGGAGCGCACAAAGGAGTTCAGATTCACTTTTCTGAGCACACAAGGGTAGGCAGTGCGGCAGATGTAACATGATGACATGCACAAACCAGCAGCAGCATCTGCCGCAGTGCAGTATCCCCTTGGCTGATCTACCAGCATAGATAACCCCTCCAACCTTCACTTGCCTGGGTGAAGAATGCAAACTTAAGGGCGTGGATGGTCTCCACGCTGATGTGCAGGGTGACCTCAGACACAGTCTCATTCAGGGGAATCTGCATGTGGATGGCAGAGAGAAGTGGTCCACACATCATCGAGGCAGTGATGCGGCGCATGGGATGTTTGTATTTGTGGGTCATTTGTCTGCTCTCGAGCACCGATGTCCAGGGTCTGTCCATCATTCCCAGCGGCCCCACCCATCACACATGCCCACTGCCCCCCTTCCAACCTGTCCCAGTTCACCATTCCAATGGATGCAAAATCTGCAGCCCTCAGCCCCAAACTCACCAGGTAGTCCCGCAGCAGCCAAAAGTTGTTGTACCAGACAAAGGGTGCATAGGTGAGGGTCACCTCGTCCATGTCCACAAAGCCCTTGTACTGCGGGGGGATCTGACGCAGCTGGTACTTCTTGAAGTCGTCGACGACGGCGATGGTGACGTTGGGGCGCAGGAACGACACTATCACCGTGTCGTTGCCGGTGTGCACGTCCTCTGGGGCAGCCTCGTTGCCCGTCGAGTTCTTGCCAGTCAGCAGGTTGATTCCGGTCCCGGCCTGTGGAGGGAGGATTATGAGACAGGAAACCTGGTGGACACAGATGGTGCTGCTGACAGGTCTTCAGGCATGGCGGCTGCAGGGTATGTGGGGACTGCCCACCGTTTCGCAGCACTGGCGTTCAAGCAGGGCCTGCTTGACAATCGAAAGGCGCCCAGACATAGTGCAGGCGCCAGGTTCCTTGTGTGAGCACAATTGACTTCTCTACCAAAGCAACACACCCCGGCCTGAGGACGATCTACTCGGATCTGCAACCTTCCCAATAATGTCCAGATCCTCATGCAATATCCCACCCTCCCTGGACGTTCTGCCCGACCCACCCTGGGCTTCTTCAGGTAGACGTTGAGCGGCTGGGACTTGGCAAACGTAAGCGCTGCGTCATGGAAGCCGTCGGCAGGGTCAGGCGACGCTCCACTGGGAGTGAACACAGCGTGGAAGAAGACGCTCCCGTTGTTCTGCACGGCATGGGAGGGGGCGTACACCAGGGCGGTGGCTTGCGTAGAGCCCGTGCCCAGCTCGAACTCGGTGGCGGACCAGAGGGGGGGCCCCTGCTTGGCACTGGCCTGCCAGTCATTTGCCTCCGAGATGTAGACGTGCACATCCACAGGGGTGCTGCGGGCCAGGCGGGGGAGTGTTTCTGCTGGCAGGGCAGGTAGATCTGGGGAGCCAGGCGTGGCGGAGGGGATGGGGGTGCTCTTCTGGCCGCCGAAGAAGGTCTTCATGAGGTACCTGGGTCAGGACGCAGGGGAGACTGGTGAGCACGGGCATCGCAGGCGACCAGGGGATGCCTAGGGATTTTGGTCCTGCATGCATGTCCATGGACGGCCAGCAGCCGCTTGGGATTTAAGCCTTGCAGCAGACCCCCAGACAAGCAGCAATACACTTTCACACACCACATCATGACGGCTCGTATGATGGATTGCAGGGCACCGCGACCTCTGCCCTGCTGGGGAGCGGCAGGTGGTGCCGCATCACCCCCTTGTGCAGCCACCTCGGCTGCGGGCGGCATGGTAAAGCGCCGGGAGGTACCTTCCTGAAGAGAAAGCACAGTGATAGTGGATAAGATGGAAGGAGGCGCGCATGCATGTGGAGGATTCAGTCCTGATCACCGCGCGCGCACGAGGACACGCCCGGGTGCCGGGCGACCAAGGTGTGGAAACCCTTGCGCACCCCGCGCACCTCGCTGGATGAGTGGATGCTTGAGTACACGAAGCCGTTCTGTCCAGATTGGCCCAGCGTCGGGCAGATCATGCTCGATCAGTGGGACTCGCATCAAGGCGCCATGTGCTGAGCCACGCTCCGGGCGCCTCCAAGTCGCGTTTCGAGATCAAACGCTGCCAGTGGATCTTGCACATCTACATCGTATTGAAGGAGACTGAATCATATTCGTACGATATCGCCATTGTTGAAAATACGTGGAGATTTGTCCAGTGGCACTGGCTTCTGCCAGTGTTTGGCATGGCAGGGGCAAGTCCAGCTTCGCAGCGTGCAATGTGGGATGAGGAGGAGCTCTTGCAGATGCAGGTATTGTATATGGGATAATTTTAATGGAACACCATTTGTTTCATTGCCGTGAACGAAGTTTTGAGAATGGCACCACCTCCCTAGTCATGTCGAGCGTCACTCCCGCACAGGAGGACATGAAGACGCTGCCTCGGGAACGGCTGGCAGCCAAAGTCACTCGCGTGGTCCGTAAGTCCGCCGAAGCAGCGCCTGAAGTCAAAACTCCTCCTGCTGTTCCATTGAAGGACCGGGGAATCCAAGGTGCAGCCCGCCCCTTTCCTTGCTCTGGTTTGGCGGGCAGAGGCTGCGATGGTGGAGCATCCAGAGAGGGTGCACATGGGTCTCAAGGCACTTGGATGGGCTCATTATCAGTCGATGGAGTCTTCAGACGCCTGTGCTTGTGGTCTCTCCCCATCGTCAACCTCCCAGCCAGATTCACTGCCTCCCCATGCAGAGCGCATGCTGGGCATGAATTCCCTGGTGGGGTCTGTCGTGGAGCGGGAGGTGGCGGGCCCCACCCCACCCCCCACATGCTCGAGCACCGCCTGTGCTCCAGCCTTCCCTGCTGCAGCCCACAGAGGCCCCGGGGCCTCACGCTTTTCCAGGGCTCGACGGGACCCAGGACCGACTGGTGCGGCGGCTTCCTCGCCGGCCATCAAGGGCCCTGAAGCCGCCCTGGAGCCGGGCAGCGTCGAGGAGGCGAGCGCGGCGCTGCTGTCAGGGATGAGCCTGGCGGAGCGGGAGGAGGCGCGGCGGGATCTGGAGTCCAGGTTGAAGCCCGAGACGCTGGCATTCCTGAAGGCCAGGGGCGCGCGTCGACAGATGCAGGGTCCCGCTGCTGCCGAGGGGAAGAGGAGTGTAGAAGCAGGGATGGCAGGCCCTGCGCACGACGAGAAATCCAGACCCACGGCGGCTGGCGGCAAGGCCGTCAGGTTTGCACCGCAGCCCCAGGAGAGCCTAGCCAGACCAGCGGTGGCCCCCGGGATTGCGGCCCAAGCCGGCCCAAAGCCCTCCGCCCTCCCAGCAATCGGGCCAGACTCCCACGATCCGGCGGCCGAGGAGAGCCTGCCGCCCGCCGCGCGCCTCCTTTTCGACGTGAGCGGAGTGGCCGTTGGCCTCGCCCCCGCGGCCGCCGATGTCTGGCCGGAGGAGGACGGGCCGGCGATGCGCGGCCCGCCGGACCCCGACGCCCACGGCCTGACACTGCGCGAGGCGTGCAGGCTGTGCCGCAGCAGCAGCATGCCCCAGCGCCTGGCCGCGCTGCGCACGCTGCGCAACGTGCTGGCGGGCGCGAGCAGAGGGCGGCAGGGGGGGGCTCGGCAGGGTCCCCAACTGACGCGGGACGCGGCGGCGCTGCTGGCTGCCGAAGGCCTGGAGCCGCCCAGTCAGACACAGCTGGGCCGGGAGCTGCTGAGCGGCGCCAGGGCCACCACCGTCCTGCGCCGGGCCCTGGACGAGACGGTGCCAGCCGTGGTGGCTGCCGCCGCCGGGGCGGTGCTGGCCCTCGTGGATCTGTCGCCCCCAGGTGCGTGGGAAGAGGTCCTGTGTGGTGTGTTGGGTGGTGAGCCAGTTGCAAGCGTGCTTGTTCTGGCTTCAATGGGCGGCAGAATCAAGCAGCGTGGAGGAGCTGGCAAAGTATCCACTGTGTTCAGAGCCTGCCCTGCGTGCTGAGCAGGACAATCGCCGAAGTTTCCCAGACTCCTCCCCTCCTCAGAGCATGCGGTGCTGGAGGCCAGCGACGCGTCCCCGCTGTCAGGCTGCCCGAGCCTGGGCATTCGCCACGCCCAGCGCCCCTCCCTGGGAGCTGCATGGGTGACGGCGCCCCTCGCTGACGACCCCAGGACAGGCACCCCAGAGACCGTGGATGGCGAGCACGAGGAGGAGCCCACAGACTGGGAGCTGCTGGGCCAGGCCGACCCCCTGTCGGCCCTGCTGGGTATGGGCCTGCTGGATAGGGTGGCGTACCTCCTCCGCGAGGCGGCCACGTTCTCGGGAGCAACAACGTCCCTGCTTGCCCTGCTCGTGCGGTGAGGATTTTGATTTAGGGAGCAAGGATGAGTCAATGTCCTGGGACACGGTTGCGGGAGTGGGTGGGGGCAGGTCTGATGATCTCAGTATGGGAGTGAGACTGCCTGCCTACTCATGTGACCCAATCCCACTCGAAGTGTTACCCCACCTTGCAGAATCTAAAAGCATCCCCATTCTCCTCTTATTCCCCGCACAGCATTTGCCGCATGGGTCCAGACGCATGCTCCCTCCTGGTGGCCAATGCCGCCCTCGTTGCGGCGATGAGGACCCTGCTGGCCGGCCCTGCTGCAGGAGGGGTTGAGGAAGAAAGCGTGCGATGCATGGCCTTGCGCATGCTGTGCACGCTGGGCTCCACTGCCCCCAAGGCCCTGGTGCCCATCTGGAATGCTGGCTTCACCCAGGCCCTGCAGAGGGCCCTGCTGCGAGACCACCGAGAGCTGCAGGGACAGGTCGGTGTGGATGTCTGGCACCTGATGCACAGAATGGCAACGTGTGGACGAGTTTCATGTTTGCATTGCCTCGCTCTGTATCAGGAGACCTGTGTCACTGGATTCAAGCCCCTATCTGCCAGCCCCACACATCCTGAGCCACACAGGCTCAACAGGAGTGGGTCTGGGCGCTGCGCAGCTGGCGGGCCGCAGCAGCCTCAGGCTGCGAGGTCGCTCTGACTCTGGACGACGCCTACCCCTGGCTGTGCCATGCCTTCTTTGCCCAGGCTGATGCGAGCGCATGGCTTTGGCAGGCGACCGCGGAGGCGCTCTGGGCGGCAGTGGACTCTGCTCGCCAGAACGCCCTGGCAAGGTGAGTGAGGTTGTGTGCTTTGGTGTGGTGACTTGGGGAAATAGGTACTGTACAGGTTGAGGTGCATCGGGCCATACTGCAGTCTGAGAGCCTGTGCGCAGCACTCCCAAAGCGACCGGCACATGCCCATTCAGAACCCCATCCCTTCCACAGTGGGTCTGGGATCGCGATGGCGTCCAGTGCCTGCCTCCTGTCTCTGCAGCGAGCGACTGCCACCTGGCTGGAGAGCGAGGCGACGGCCACTATGCAGGCCGTCCAGCAAGCAGGCGGGGATGCGCAGGATGGCCGGATAGCCGCCATGCTCTCCGCCGTGACGGCGGCCCTGGTGCTGCTGCGCGCCACCGTGGCAGCAGATGCGCAGGGCAGCGCAGAGAGCGCCACACAGATCAGCAGGCCGGCTGCTGGTGCATCGACGCAGGCTCCCCCCTCCATCACGGCCCTGGCGGCGGCCATGCTTGAGCATGTGTTTGCGGCGCTGGAGGAAGAAGAGAGCGTGGATCAGCGTCAGGAGCAGCCGAGCGCGACAGGGAAGCTGACCTCACAAGACCCGGCCCCGCCCAGCCAATCAGCAGCCCTGTGCTCGGCAGGCCTGGCCGCAATTCAGACGCTGCAGGCCGGGGGTGAGGCCGGCACGGCCCGCCTGCGCCGTGCGGCGATGGCCAGGCCAGGCCTGCTCTCCACCATCGGGCGGCTGCTGGGCGGGGGGTCCCTGGCCGCCCACCCCCTGCTCCTCCAGCCAGAGGATGCAGTGCGGCTGGTCCCAGGCATGCACCTGACCAGGCTGCTCGCTGCCCTCCTGCCCTGCCTGCTGTCGGCTGGAGCTTGCGCGCCCGCCGACGCGGCGAGGGTCGCCGACGCGGGGCTGCGCTGCGTCGTCCCCGGTGACGACCCCACCGCCCTTGCCCTCCTGAGCGCGCTGTGCGACCCTGCAGCGACCCGCGCCGTGCTCAGCGTGGCGGGGAGCGCCATGCGTAGCCCCGCGGCGGCACGTCTGGAGGAGCTGGAAGTGGAAACAGAGAGCGAGGCAGCACTGGGTGTTGCCTCCTCCGACCAACCGAGCCTCCTGCACGGCCTGGCGGCGGCGTGGCTGGGTCTGGAGCCGGAAAGGGGCCCAGAGGAGGGAGCACTGGAGGACGGTCCAGGCCCCATGCCCGACCGCTGCCTCATTCAGCCGGCGCTGCAGCCCCAAGGTGGCGCGGTGGGAGGTGGGGGGGTTGAGAGGCTGTGACGAGGGTACTGCTGTTTGCTGAGCGTACGGTGCCGATCCATGCTCCAGGGCGTCGTGCTGCCTGAGCTGGCTGGTGTTTCGATGAGCATCACCGTGAATCACACTCCCTCTCCCTTCCTCATGCCCATCCTCTCCTCAAAGGGTCGAGACTACCCCTCCCCCAAGGCTGGCTCGCCAGGGTCCCAGCGTCACCAGAAGTCGCCCCCCCGCTTGACCTCTCTATCCCCCTCGCCCTGGGCCTGGCCTTGCTGGAGGGCAGGAATTCGATGCAGGCATCCCTGGTGCAGCCAGCCCTTGCTGCAGCTGTCCAGGCTGCCATTCCTGCCGTCTTCTTGGAGCCTGGAACGCCCTCACCGGGCGCCGACTCTGAACGGTCTGAGCCTGCCTGGAGGCAGCCTGCCGTACGCAGGGCTCTGGCTGGCCTGCTGGCTGCGTTGTCAGAGGACGCAAAGGCGTCAAGGTCCATGCCATGGACGATGCCCCAGGCCCAGGCACTTGCCGCCGCATATGCCGCAGAAAGCTACGGCGACACACTGTTTGGCGCCGCCATCAGCCTGCTCCTCCAGGCACATGTCCCGGCGCCGGTCCAGGCAAGCCTGGGCTCTGGGTGGTGAGATGGGGTGGCATGTCAGCCCTGATGGGATGTGTTGTGTGACACTGTGCTGCTCCTCCACGTCATCAGAATGGCCATGCAGGAATCTGTCGGGTCACGGTGCATGCCCGACCCTCACTCCCCCAGCTCCTCCATCACAGACCGAGGTGATGGACATGCTTGCGCAGGCGGGGGCCCTCCACCTGCTCCCGCCCCTGGATGCCTGCCCGGGCGGCCGGACCCTGGTGCTGGGGCTCAACCCCCACGCCCCCAACCCCTGCCCCAGCCTGGCCCAGTGCCTGTCGCTGCTGAACGCCGGGCACCTGGAACGCAGCATGCACAGCATGGCCATGGTGTACCCCATGCTCCTGCACCGGGTGGCCAGGACCCTGGACACCGCGCCCGCCGGGCAGGACAGGATGGCGCTGGCTGCAGCGCTGCGTCGACGAGCGGGGACGGCATCGGGCAGTCGGTTCGTCGGGGATGTGTGCGCCTGGGACTGGAGGACAGGCAGGCCGGGCTCTGAAGCATGTTCGACCCGTTCCGCCCTGTTTGACTCGTGAACCGACTGGCTCTCACCCCTCCATGCACGCAAATTTGAAGGATGCACGGCAAACATTGGCTAGGGCGCAGGGGGTGACGATCTGAGGGGACTATCTGACGGTGAACGCTGCAAAAATGCGAGATTGGAAAGCATGACGCTGATGGAGGTGGGGCATGGGAGGACCCCTGAAGGCGCCAGGAGCCAGGCATGCAAGGGGCTCACAGCACTGTGCAAGCCCCATTCTTCCCCCACCCCCTCGTGTACATGGAGGGGTGGACACTCGAGTCTGTGCACGAGTCTGCCGATCAGAGCTGCTGGAGGACCTCGATGTAGCGATCGGGCAGGTGGTCGTTGAAGCAGTCGGGCAGGAGGAGGAGGCGCTCAAAGCTCGTCGCCTTGGCTTCCACGGCCACGGGCACCGCCTTGCCCCGTGTGGCTCGAGGGTCCCCGCTCTCCCTTGCGGCAGCGGCGACCTCCTTGGAGGAGGGGCCCTGGCCCTTGGCCTCCACCTCCTCCACTGCCTCCTCCATGGAGACCTGCGCGGCCCCGTCACCATTGCTGGGTGATGGTTCCGGGGCTTCAGGCTCCTTCCTTGGAGCTTCACCTCCGGTGTCCTGCTCACCGGCATGAGCAGGGGGCCCCTGCTCCTCCCCAGCAGTGCTGCCATCCAGCGAGCTCTTGTCCTCGTCTGCGGGGAAGATCCAGATGATGCGACCTGCACAGCGATGACGGGCGGGGGGTGTCACACGGGCGAGGCTGGGATCACGGTACTCTCGCACGCGCACGATGAGTGGGTATGCATGCTGATGTTTGGGGAGTTCCTCAGAAGACACTCGCCAACACCCTTCATCTGACCCTTGCCACAGACCCCTCACTCCAACCCAGCACACGCCCGACACAGCAGGCTCACCGGGGGGGTAAAGGTGCGCGGGCTGCGAGACGCTCCGTGGGGAGGTGCCCATCTCCCTGTCGCGCACCCCTGCAGAGGCGATGGCGCTGGTCGCGCCGCCCCCGTCCTCCATCCCTCCCAGGTAGGGCAGGAGGTCGGTGGCGGACGAGGGCTCCTGGTCTGCAGCGTCGCTGTCCTCGACCTGTGACCCTTCCCCGCCGGCTTGAGGTGGAGCGTCGGGGTCGGACATCTCGATCACCGGAATGAGTCGCGGCGAGGGTCGAGGGGACACGGCCGTGTCCGCCCCAGATCCCTGCGCCTGGCTCGCCCCTCCCTCCCTCGCTGTTTGCTCCAGCGTGTGGGAGGTGGCCTCGGCCGCGGCAGCCAGCGCCTCCTCGTCCTTTAGCAAGACCCTCACTGCGTAGTTTGATGGGAGATGCAATCGAACTCTCTCATGTTTTCTTGCATGAGGCCCAGACAAGAACCAGGTGACCTGCGAATGCAGGCCGCGAGACTGCAACCACAGACAAGGATCAGACCACTCTGGACTCCCTCAACAACCAGCCTCTCCTTCTCAGTTACCTCCACTCAACCCTCCCCCCCCTCCCAAAAAGTAAAGCAGGGCCCCACCCACGTTCATCGGCAGGCCGGCGCGGCGACGACCCCGCCGCCCGCCGCACGCTCTTCCACTCCCCCTGCGCCTGGGTTTTCCCCTCCGAGCGGCGCTTGGCCACTGCCTCGCTGACCTTTGTGTCGCCAGAGTCCTTGCCCAATCCCTACGAGTGTAGATATAGAGGGTCATGCAGGGGACCCAGCCTGGTGACACTGTTGTGGTGAGTTGCAGCGGCAGTCGCAGCCGGGCCCATGGCTGTAATCAAAGTCAACTGACCTGAATCCACCCTTGCAACAGCTCAGAGCAGCGCACACCCAGTCATTTGGTTGCTTGCGTGCTGTCCTTCCGACACCATCGCCCCTCTTCCCCCTCCCCCCCACACACACCACACCACACACATCATAAATAATAAAAGAAAGGGCACCACCCGCGCACCAGCACAGAGCTCAGCTTCTTGCCCAGGCCCTTGGCCGCGCGGGGCAGCAGGCTGGACTGGTTCAGCTCCAGGAGCAGGGTCTCCACGGACGCGTAGCTGAGGTGGGGGATGATGTCGGCCGCCAGGATGACGGAGGTCACGTGGGGCCGGCAGGCGTCTGCCATCGGGCGCGACATCACGGCCGCGGTGCCGATGGTCACGCAGCCCACGGCACCCATACCACGCGGCACGCCCGCCTCATGGATGAGCAGTGTGAGCAGGGCCGCCACACCCCCTGTGTGCGTGTGGAGATGGGACTGTGGTTGGGATTTTTGTTGTTGGGATGAGATGCGCCCTGTGGACAGATGGGTCTGTGTGTCCATGATGTTCTCGGGGGGGGGGGGGGGTATCAGAGTAGGTTCAACAACACACGCCATCTGCCGTATGATGTCAGCATCCTCCCATCCGCAAGCTCAAGCACTCCCATGCCCAGCGGTCACCCCACGGCCAGCCCACCTCCCAGGGAGTGCCCCGTGATGAGCAGGGGCCAGCCCGGGAACTGCTCGGCCGCCCTCTCCAGGGTCTCCCCCGTCGTGCAGTGGATGTAGGTGGCCGCCGAAAAGATGCCCTGTGCATGGGAGGGTGGAGTGTCCGGCATGAAAATCTGGTCTGATGGGCCTGCACTGCACTCAAGTGGCCAGATCCTCGGGCCGAGGGATGGCCGAACTGCGCCTGCCGACCCTCAGACAGACTGCATGTGCGGCCCCCCATGCAAGGACTGCTGATGAAGCATGCTCCTGCGACCATGTCCCACACCTGATGTCATCAGCCCTGAAATCGCGCTGCCAGGGCCCGGTCTCACCCGCCCCTCCACTCCGCACAGCCCAGCACCCGCCCTACAGAAGGAAACCTTTCCCACTACACAGACCCACTTCGTGCACCCAGCCGCTGCGGCCGCCCAGGCTGGCCTCCATGGGATGCGCGGCCATGTCCGAGAGCAGGTCCCCCACCTCCAAGGACCCTCTGTACAAGAGGAGAGTGGATGATGGACACCTGCTGCGCACATGGACACCTCCTCGACATTTGCAAGCCCCTGCCGTGCATGGATGCAAGGTGTGCCACCTTCGCATGCACTTGATGCTTCAGACCTCCACTCAAGCCCCACCCACCACCAACCCCACACCCGCACCGGATGCTCAGCACGAGGCAGCGGTTGGCGCGGTCCACGGCCACATAGTGGCATGGGCGGTAGGTGGAGTTGCTCCACTCCGCCAGGAGGATGTCGCCCGGGTCGATACCCGTCAGCTCCGCCACGCTGTCGTTGTTGGCCTCCACAGACACCCCGCCCACCGCATCAAACCTGGAGGGGAGGTGGTGGAAGGGATGGGATGCAGGGGGGGTGAATGGAGTGGGAGTGGGATGGCCAGGGTTGTGCAGCACTGCTGAGGTGAGGGCATGGCTGGCAGGCCAGGCATGGAGTGAGAGGCGGAGCGCACACAGCAGCGGTCCTGGGGCTCGATGGGAGCCAGGGACATTCGAGCCAATACATGCCTGCTGCCCATGCTCTCCACTCGTACAACGAAACCTCTCCATCTGCATCTCCCCCAGCCGCCCCCTCGACTCACGTGAAGGGCGCCAGGGTCTTCAGCTTGATGTACCCCGTGACGGTGCTGATGTGCCCCGCCGCCATGGCGTAGCCGTAGGCGGCCCGGGAGTGCATGCCCGCGCACAGCAGGTCCTGCAGCAGCGTTCTGCCGCCCTCCGATTGTAGCGCGGACAGCGGCGCCTCGTCCTCGGCCGTGAACAGCCGCCGCTCGTAGGCTTGCACCTGGGTAGGTGCGGCAGAGGGATTAGAGGCGGAGGGTGGTGTTGTGTGTGTGTGTGCGGCGGGGGGGCCCGAAACAGGGCTTTAAGTCCACACATACGAAAGACATGTGGCGGATCAGCGGCCTCACTCACCCATTTACCTGGAGCGTGGCGTAGACCTGCTGGTGCTTTTGGTATACCTGGTAGAGTGCGGAGGGATCCCAGGGCGCGAGAGACCACCACCGCCGGCGCTCCAGCAGATCGTAGACCATCTTCAGGAACCCCTTGATCGCCCGGCGCTGGGCCGCATCCTCCTGAGCCCTGTGGAGGGTGTTTGAAGGGGATGACGCGAGCTGGGGCGCTGGGGAGTGGGGGTTTGGGGATGGCAGTGCCGTAGCTGGGGGTGCCTGGCGGATGAGAGGCGCCCAGGGTGCTAGGCAATATAAGGTAGTAGGGGATGACATTGGTCACAGCGCTACGGATTCGGTGCAGGCCGCTAGAACGCCATCGCACACCCCAAAATCCCTCTGGCCTCCCCTCCCCTTCTTGACCCAGGTGCGTCTCGCCTGCGCCGCGAATCCGAGCGCGGAGGGATGGGCGCGGCGCCTGGATCCTGGCTCGTGCCGTCCACGCTTTCGCCGGAACCGCTGCTGCTGCCCAGGGAGGCCGCGTCGGCCGCCTCGGCGGCCTCGGGCCTCCGCCGCCACAGCCGCCTCCGTACCACGTCGCCGAAGCGGGGGGTGGATCGCCCCCCCGGCCGCTTGTACTCCAGGTGCCTGTCATGCAGGGGCCGGGGAGGTAGGGAGAGTCATGGCCTGCGGCTGCGCCAGAGGGCGCTCCAGAAGCCTGGTGCCCTGCACGAGAGCAGCGGGGATGTGCTACACCGAGCCAGTGCCACCTCCGCGCTGGCCTCACTTGAACACCGTGCCGTACTGCCAGCCCTCCGGGTCTGTGCCGGGCGTGACGACCACCTCCCAGGCCTGGGGCTGCTCGGTGGGGGGCTTGGTGACGGCGATGCCCTCCCCCGTGCCGTCCGTCCACTCTGCGCGGTCCAGGGCCGCCACGGGGCCCTTCCAGATGATGCCGAAGAAGCGCTCGTTCTGATACAGCTCGCTCACCTGCTCCATGGTCTCCTTGGCTGCAGGGAACTGTGGGGGGAGGGGGGGGCACGGAGTCCCGGGGAGTGTGGTGACACAGACCCCTGATCCCTTCCCTCTCCAGCACACCAGGGGGGCCAGACCTACCGGGCTGCCGCCGAGCACAAGCGTCACCGTGCTCAGAAAAGGGAGTGCCTGGAGAGCTTGAGCACTCTTGTGATGAAATGATCCTCCTCGTGGTCTGACAGGCTGCCGCAAACGGGTCAGGGACGGAGGGGAAGTGTGGCGGGTTGGCAAGGGGCGGCAGCTCGGAAGTGGGGTGGCCAAAGCCTGCGGCATGAGGATGGCTGCCTGTGTGCAACAACGTTTTCAGTCACACCATTGTTTTGGGAAGAAGCAAGGCTTGACCAGTGCATGATGAATCGCATGTATTGTCGTCCTGCCGGGCACCTGCTTGACTGACTGCCCCGACTTCGACATCCGAGATCACACGAGACGGAGACAGGGCATCGGAGCATGCAGCACGCATCCCCCTGCCCTTCGAGTCGAGCTCGGTGATCGACACACGGCTAGATTCATACACTGCATCCCATGGCACCTGCGGGGACTCCGTGCTGCGGGCACGCCCAGACTCTGGGCAGGCATCACCTCCAAGATCACTTCCCTCTCGGAGGGGCCCATCACAGGACGCGGGCGATCCGTCCACCTCCATGTGAGCCCTTCAAGCCACATGTGATGGGCCAGCGAGGCTGTGCCAGGCCGGGCGGTGTCTCAAAGGCTGCCAGTGCGGATGCAGGGGAGGTGGAGGTCTGGGCCGAGGAGACCCTCATGGAAGCCCAGCTGGGCGCCTTCCTCCAGGTAGCTGGCGTGCCTTCACAGTCACCGGAATGAGGTGGCCCTTTGCCATGCTCCACATCGGCCCGGGACCGCGAGTGTGTCAACTTCGGACTCTCGGTCCATGGTGGGCCCCGCACTTGCACTTCACGCACAGACTCTCCAGGAATGACCGAGTGATGATCTCTCATACATCTCCTGTCTCCCATGCCTGCTTCCCCACGCCACTGCCCACCCCACAGTCTAATACACGGGTGGCAGACCTGGAGGCCGCCCTGAAGCTGGAGCTGGATGCGGAGGAGTACGCCGCCGCCTCCGCCACCCTGCTCCTGCTGAAGCAGGCGCGGCTGGAGAGCGCGGCGGCGCGCGAGGCGGCGGAGGGCGCCATGCGCCGCACGCTGCGCTGGGGCGCTTACGCGCACGGCGTCGGCGCGGTGGTCACGCACCGTCGCTATGGGTACCGCGGCGTGGTGGCGGGCATGGACCCCACCTGCCTCGCCTCCCCCGCCTGGATGGCGGCCATGCGGGTGGACGCGCTGTCGCAGGGCAGGTTCCAGCCCTTCTACCATGTCCTCGTGGATGAGCGGGATCGGCCGGGGGGGGTGACCACCTACGTCGCCGAGGTGGGTCGTGCTGGCGGGGCGGTGGGTTGGGGGTGGGAAGTGTGCCGGGAATTTCCGCCCATTCATGCCAGGGGGTCTGGGAGGAGCGCTTTACAGAATTGTGCTGTGCCTCACAACGCTTGCTGACACCCTCCAGTCACACCCACCGCTCGGGGCACTCTGTATTCTTTGGACTGCAGGAGAACCTGGTGGCCCCTCGGGGGGTCAGGCCGATTCTGCACCCCCTCATGGACGAGCTGTTCCTTGGCATGTCCAAAGAAGGGGTGTACAACCCCAGCATGAAGCTGCACCTCCTCTTCAGGAAGAGGCTAGGACCGCAGTGACCTGCCACAGATTCTGAGCTCCATGCGCATGAGTGCTGGTGGCGCGCGCCAGGGAGGAAAGCCCTCCAATCGCCACCTGGCTCCTCATCCTGTACGCCCCCCTTTTGAGCGGCAATTTTAAACCCCTTGCTTTCTCCTCGTGTCAATTGGAGACTCTGTTTGGTACTGGAGTGTATTCGTTCCTAGGCCAACAGCATATCCATGCCAAGCGACACTTATCGAGGAGCGCCGTGTACCTTCCCGTCCCCAGAGGCCCCTGCACACTGCTGTAATTCTGATGCATACCAAGCTGGCGTTCTCTTGGTCAGTATTCTCTGGTGTGCCTGCCCAGTGGGGAACCCCTTGACCGGTACAAATCAGCGCCGTGCTTTCCAAGCATGGCCCAACTTGTGCGTTCAAGTGCAGGGCGCGCCAGGCACGACTCAAATCACTTCGCAACCAGGCCAATTTCCTGATACAGAACCTTTAAATTCGACGATATCAGATACGAGATGACGGCAGTCCAGGCCAGCATCCAGGCCCTGCATGCGCACATGGGGGCTTTCTCGGCAGGGGCCTCTGCGGAACTCGGGGCCCTGCGCCGGGATGTGGAGCAACGCCCTGTGGTCGGAGCGACAGCATACAGGCATGCACTGCGTGCCATCGGAGAATCCCTGGATTCTGCAGCGATCGAAGTTCAGGGACTGGAGTCCCTGAGGTCGGGCTCCCTCCAGGTGGGCTCGGGGTTCTGGGGTACGGGATCGCTCGCAGCCCAGCACGGGGCGGTCCGGGGACGGCTGCTGTGCTGCTCTAGCACAGAGCAGGCAATGCCATCCGTCCGAGCATCCCCTGCATCGCAATAGCACTTCCAGCACAGCCTGTCACCTCGTTGGCTTGACAGGATGCTGTGTCTGACGGCGTGAGCACCTACCAGGCAGCATGCCAGCAGATTAAAGACCTGGAGTCCCTGCTATCCGGCTATGGCTACCGGGAGCCATACGTGCCAGAGCCGCCCCTGGACCCCCTTGAATTGATGGAGCCGGAGGCAAGGGTGAAACAGGAGGATGTACAGCTCCGGGCCCCACAGTCAGCCTCGCCGATTGGACTCTTCCCGGGGTCCAGCCCCATGTCCTCCTTTGCCGGCACGCCACCGCTGATGAGTTCCTGGTTGCCCGCAGGGAGTGGTGAGATGGTTGGGGCGGCCGATTCCCTGAGGTCATCTAGGGCCTGTTTGGATAGCCTGTGGCTGATCAGATCTCACTGCTGCCCAGGGTGCAAGGGACTCCGGCTGGCACTGCACCAACAGCACCCCTCGACCGCCATACCCACCCCCTCACAGTCCTGGCTCAGGGGAGTGTGGTCCTTCAGGGTCCCCAGCTGACGACCATGCGCATGGCCAGGGCTCGACAGGACACCCCCTCCAGCCTGGCCTCCGCGGAGGATTTCAGCCCCAGCATGAGGTGGGCTGCTGTATGAAAAATGGGGATCCAAGCAGCTGCAAGCAGTGATACAGGGCCCGACGCCACTTCCCCGCCACTGTCCACCTCAGCCCTTGATGCGGTGACGCATGGCCCCAGCGGGCTCACCGACTGATGATCGGCGACTGCCTCCCGCGTCCCCCTGATAGTCCTCAATGCCCCAACCACACCTTTCCCTTCCTCCCCATGATGCACAGGGAGCTGCTTGGAAAGTACACCAGCATGTCTGTTGCCAGCTCTGGCAGGCTCTCCTTCCCCGCCGGCAGTCAGTGGGCCCTCACCCCAGAACCTCTGCCCGCCAGCGCGCCGGCCAATGCCTCGCCACTAGGAGCCCAGCATGCCGCGACGCATGCCTCGCATCCCGTGGCTGAGCACGCCGTGGCGCCCTCGCCACCCCCGCCGCCGGCATCGCGCGGCCAGCCCGGGAGCACCCCCCTCGACCTCTCCCGGGGTCTGGCAGGACAGGGGGAGGGCGCACCCACGCCCGGCCCCACCCCCTCCTTCATGGATCAGTACAGGTCGCGGTACCCCGCCATCATCGCGTCCGCGGAGCGATACATGGCCACGGCCGAGAAGAAAGAGCGGCCGAGCCGGTACGCCTTGGAGGCAGGCGAGTTTCCGCTCTTTCCTGAGCAGCCCCTGGCCCAGGCCGCCGAGGTGGGCGGCATCTCTTCAGGAGTCGAGGATGCTCGCCAGGTGATGGCCGTGGTGGGAGGCTGCAGGGTGGAGCGGTCGGGTTGGAGGGGAGGGGTGCGGGATTATGCCCCTCAAGGACATGCTGGGGTGTGTGGATCCCGTCACTGCCGGCAATGATGCGCCCAGGCCGCACAGCCTGCAGGGCGATCTGGGTCGCAGGGGTGCGAGGCACGGCCATCCATCCGGCTGCACGCGCTCTCCTCACCGCGCCGGCCATGGCCCTTCAGCATGCGCTCTGTGTGCCAGGTGCCTCCTTCCTGTTCCCGTACCATCTCTGAACCTTTGTCTCCTGCAGGACGCGCCGTCGAGGTCAAGCACAGCCCTGGACCCCAGCGGCAGATTCCCTGCTTCAACACTGCACGGGGCGCAGGTGGCCGGCTCGGAGACCATGGGAGCCCGCTCTGCGGCGGCCAGCCCCCCCTTCGGAGCCCCCTCACCGCCTCACAGTCGGAGGATCGGCTGCGTGGCAGAAACGGTGGGCGTCGGGTGTGTCGACTTTGAGGAGCGCTCACAACTGCATGAGGCCGCATGCTCACCACCGCCGACTCTGGATGAGGGGCGCGTGGCCTGACACCTGCACAGCATGTGACACACTGCATCATTGGTCATCAAACACCAGCTTCCGGCTCTTAACTCACCCTCTCCAGCCCACAAAAAGCAGACCTACGCCACTCTTCCTGCATTCATCCGGGGCCAGCTGTCCCTCCAGCTCCTGAACAACACCCTGACCTCGCTCCAAGCAACCCTGGCGGCTACTGGTTCTGTCGGTGAGTGGAACATTGATCATGGCGAGGATGAAGTATCCCTTGGGCTGGACACTGCTGATCTGGGGCTTGTATTCAATGTGCACATGCCACGACGGGCTTCTGCCCGCCCACCTGCATGTTGTCGACCTCTTGATCTGGAATACGCACGCATGCCGCACTGAGCCCACGGTCCTTACCATCAACCTGCCCCGTTCTGCCCCTCCTGCCCAGAGTTTGGAGCCCGGGCCCTGGAAGAGCTGGGAGTCGGGGTGAAGGCCAAAGTGTTCATGAATGCCCTGCTGAAACTGAAGCTGGCCAGCCTCCGTGTCCTCCCGGGCCAGGAAACGGTATATGTGCTGGCTTGAACCCGTTGCCTGCTGTGTCAGCATAGCTTTGTCAATACCACCAGAGCAGGCTGCAAGAATGTCCTTGGGTTGTGATCTCATGTACGATCTCGCTCGACGGCACATCCCCCCCATTCTAGCGCTCGCGTCGGAAATTTGTCCGAGATCGATGGAGGGATATGGTGTCCCCAGGAAGCTCACGGGATCGTATGTGAAGTCAACAAATATCTCCTGCACAGAATGAGAATGACTTCCTGAGATTTCCATCTTCCAGTTGGCATTGGCGTTGTGCTGGCCGCACTCCGCCAGCCTGGCGTGAAACCGCAAGGCCAGCCAGCACAATAGAGCTGCGTGTAGCAATGCCTAGTCGACAATCATTGCAAGGGGGGTTCAGCTTTCGATGCGCCGCAAGCACATCATCACGACCGTGCCAGCTCATCGCTCTATCCAGGCCACGGTGTTCGCCCTTGGCAGCACAGCCCTCACGATGTGCCCGCACTGGTCGCCAGCGCTGCAGCTCGACGTCCTTCCCACACGAGCATCCGCAAGTCAGCCCCGATGCGGTGATAGAGCCTGTGTTCGTGGACAGCGCGAAGGGCATTCACCATGCTGCACCCTCCCCCCCACCTGAGGACGGGGGCAGTCCCTACAAGGACCGCGCATCGCTCCTCAGAGCAGCCATCAAGGCGCCCATGTATTCTGTGGGCATCATGCCGATCCTGGTGAGCGCCAGGGCTGATCATGGGGAGGGTCTCCGATCTCTTTCCCCCACACACACAAGGATTGGTGCTTCATCACATGTGCCCTGCACTACCTCGCACAACTCACCACGCCCTCCCTCCCGTCCATCCAACCCCCAACCCCACCATCGACAGGTCAGCGCAGCTGCCGTGTTTGCAACGACGGGGCAGGCTGACATGCTGCGCACCCTGGGCCTCTGCCTCTCTTCCATCCTTATCATCGCCTGGCTCAATCTGTCCAACGACTACTTTGACTCCCTCACCGGGGTGGACACCCACAAGTACGAGTCCTGGGTCAACATCACCCGCTCCCCCAGGACCATCTTCGTGACTGCGCACGCCTCCCTCCTGGCCGGCGCAGGCATGCTCTTCTGGCTCCTGTCTCAGGTGAGGTGCTCCTCGCTGAATGCGCGGAGGGGGTGTAGTGGCCAGCAAGGCGCAGCCAGAAGTCTCTGGGGTGCACAGAGTGGGAGACCCTGAGGGCGGTCTCTTGAGATCTCGTGGCCGCCGCGCCTACGGGGTGTTTCAGACGACTCTTTGTTTTATGGACGCTCCAACCCCACTTCTTCCCCTCTGCCATTCCTGCCAACCCACAGTCCCCTGCCATTGCCAGCAAGATGCTATACGCCGCGATATGCTGCGGCTACCTGTACCAGGGCCCGCCATTCCGCCTCTCGTATCAAGGTCTTGGCGAGGCCCTCTGCTTTGTGGCATTCGGGCCGCTGGCTGTCAATGCATTTTATCTTGCACAGGTCAGACCTTGCGGCCGCAAAGTGGGGATGGGGCGTGGCGGCAGGCATCCCATGGAGCGCTGCAGTCATCAGCCGGGTGCCTGCCAGCCAGCCATCGCTCCCTGCTCGCAGCAGGGCCCCTGTCGAGCCACCAACCTAATCACCTCCCCCCTCCCCTTCACCACGCGTCTGCAGGGGGCCCCAGCCCTCAGCACCCAGTCCTGCATCCTGTCGGTCCTGGTGGGCGTCTCGACCAGCGCCATCCTCTTCTGCTCCCACTTCCACCAAGTCAAGGGCGATCTGGCGGCGGGCAAGCGCTCCCCCATTGTACGCCTCGGCACCGAGACCGGCGCGCAGGTGCCTGGGGAGCAGATGGCAGCAAGGGGGGGAGGGGTCCGAATGGCTGCGTCGCCATGCCGTACTCTGAGCTTCCCCTCCACCCCCGCATACATTCAAAACTTTCACGAATGCAGCCGCCAGACGCGCCTCGCGCACTTGAGTATCTCACACTGGGCGAGCACCCTCTTCCCCCTTTCCCCCCTTCACCATTCTCTGGATGCATGCAGGTGCTCAAGGTGACGGTGGGACTGGTGCACGTCGGGCTCCTGGCCACCAGTCTGCTGGGCTACCTGCCGCTCACATGCTGGACCTCGGCCATGGTGGCCTACGGCTCCGCCAATGCCATGGTGTCCCTGGCAGAGAAGAACGCGCACGGTACTTGGGGGAGGAGGGAAGTGAGAGGGGTGGGGGAGGGTGTTCAGGGGTGGGACCCTAGGCACTAGTCTCGGACTGGTATCATTGTATGCCGCCGACTCGCCGCAGCCGCCCTTTCTGCGTAATCCACCGCTCACTGGCACACCGTCCCGCCTCACTCCATGCTTTCCTCTCATACCATCAGACCCAGAGGCGCTACGGCCCCTGAAGCTCCTGGCGACCCGCTGGCACATCCTCTTCTGCACCATGTTGTGCCTCGGTCTGGTGCTCAAGCGAGCCATGCTGACGTAGGGCCATGCTGCAAAGGGGTCGGGTGGGCCCTGGCTGTTTTGGGGCTGGTCAGACCCCACGAAGGTGCACCGCTGTATGTGACCCGAACTGGGAATGTTACAGACAAAGATCCCAAAATACGGTGAGGAGCTTGGCTTTCGGGCGCTGCGCCAGACGGCCTAGGCGCGGCGCTGGGCACGGATGAAAGGGTAGGAAAGCCCGGAGAGGACGCACCAACGACACTGGGCTGAGGCTATGCACTGGCAGGCTTGCAGCATGCACAGCCCCCGATGGTGAGGACTTGTGAGGCCCAGGCAGCGTTCCAGTCGGACATCTCTGGTCACTCCCCAGACCGAGCTCTGTGGCAAGTTCTTGACTGCTCCCTACTACATCACGCGGGATTGCAAGCCAGAGACCTGCACATGCTCCCTGTGCTCTTGCCAGTCTTGCTGCTGCAAAGCACGTCAGCCTACAGGCATCTCCCGACAGATCGTGCACGTAGTTTTACTTGGGCTTGTGATGCCGTGGTCGATGGACAGCTTCGTGAACACGCACATCGTCAAAGCAGAGCACACCTTTCGCGGAGCCGCCGCCAAAGCTGTGCGAGATCCAATATCGGTCCGTTGGACGGCATTGTAGCCGACATCTCGTGAAGCTCGTCACAACCCGGCACCCAGGGGCCGATCACAATACTCCTTATCATCACTTTAACCAGTTACGTAATGCTTCTCAACGCTAGGCTGTAACGAAGTTCAAAGTTCCGTCATGATGTTCTCAATCATGACCGAGTGTTGTGGGGGCCCCCTCTCCGGAGTCTTCCACCCTTTCCATCTGCATCCGTGCCCTGCGACGTGTCTACGCCGCCTGGCACCGTGCTTGAAACCCAAGCCCCTCACCGTATTCGGGGTCTTGTTCTGTAACATTCCTACTTAAGGTCATATACATCAGTCCACGTTGTAGGGTCTAAACCGCCCCCACAACACCGAGGGCGGCGGCATAGGGAGACTCGAAGCTCCAACATGCTCAAGCCGGACCCAGGGGAGCCAGAATGTATTTGACCTCTCAACACAAAGTTTGAGATGTGGTAGAGGCATCTTACAATGAATGGAAGCATTGTAGCGGCCCACAGGCACCCCGGTCGGGCACGCACCCTGCCGTGCCCGAACGGACATCCCGGGTGGTAGTTCGGGTGACTGAACCCTCTCATCGTCGCTGCTGTCACAACTAAAATGCAATTCAATCCAATAATATACAAAAGAAACATGCTGCACCCGCATTGCTGCGGGAGATGTACAATGGAGCATGCTTCATGGCGATGTGAGTTTAGTATCGCTCGTCAGGCAGCCACCTCCTCGAAGTGGTAGATGCCGGCATTGCGCAGCTCCACCTCCTATGGACGTAATATGAGGGAAGACAGGGGTGAGGGTGGACGAGACATTGCGAGGCGCTGAGGCGGGAGGTGCCATGCCATGGGATTGTAGGTCGTGGTCGAGGTCACATGACAGAGAGAACCCCGCGCACTCACCTTGGCTTCGTGGCTGTTGAAGATGTGGAGCGCCGCCTGCAGTGCCCCCTCCTCACCATCAGGGAACAGGCTCGCAGCCTGGGCCAGCAAGTCCTGCAGGTAGTTCTCCCACTGCTGCACCTCCGCCTGGATGTCCATCGCTTGCATGAGCTCAACCTGGTACTGGTGCTGGCAGGCGTTCAGCTCCGCCACACGCGCCACCAGCTTCTGCTCGCGCTCGGCGCAGGAGCCCTTCAGCAGATAGGCGGTCGTGTCGGCGATGCCAGCGGCAAACCCAGACATCCAGGCCTCGTCAGCATCGGAGTCCACCTCGGAGGGTGTCGTGAGGATGGTGGGAGCATAGGAGGGCGCGCTGTAGCTGTCAGTAGACTCCAGGGAGTGGGGTGAAGTTGAGGAGGTGGTCTCGGCGTTGGCAAAGCCGTATAGGTCCTCAGGCAGGTTGACCTCAAAGGGGGTGGCAGCCCTGGGGCTCGGAGGAACCAGAGAGGGTGTTGGCTCCTCCATCTGCGGTGTGCAGGTGGCGAGGAGTGGACATGGGGTTGCATGTTGTTCTGGGGAAGCAACATACGAGGGCAGCCAGACTTGCGTGGGCATTGGCAGACGTAGGGTTGCGCGCACAGCAGGCCCTCTTACCAGGGCAAGGTAGCCTGCAGGGCACCCGGGGGTGAAGAGGGCCTCGTCGCAAGACACAGAGTTGCGGCGCTGGTGACGCAGTGGGGGTGTGATGGCCACATCGCCAGTGTGAATGGGGGTGAAGGGGGCAGGGATGGAGGTGGCGGGGGCCGGAGAGGCAGGGATGGAGGTGGCGGGGGCCGGAGAGGCAGGGGTGGAGGTGGCGGGGGCTGGAGAGGCAGGGATGGAGGTGGCGGGGGCCGGAGAGGCAGGGGTGGAGGCGGCAAGATATGGGTACGGGGTTGCTGGGGATGCGAGGGTGGGAGTGGCTGGGGCCGAGGACTCGGAGGACGACAGGCTCTTGGGAGTTTCCGCCAGACTGTTCTCGCCCTTGGAGCAGGAAGCAGGTGTCTGCGTGAAGTGCAGCGATGGAGGATCAGGGACGACCCATGGGCGGTGTCGCGGAGAGCCGGGTGGCTCGCTAACAACGAGGGCAACGGACAGCACCCACCCTGCATCTCACCGAGGCATTGGAGGACGCGTTGGAGCTAGAATTCGCCGTCTTCGCCCCGAAGTGCAGGGAGACCATGGAGAAGGCGCTCATAACGGCCTTCACGAAGACGGTCAGCGGCTTGGAAGTGCGATGCTGGTGGCCGTTGGCCCGGGCACCAATTCTCTGTACGGGGCACGATGGGGGCATGGGAGGCTTGTGATACATGTATCTAATCTCTTTAAATCACATTGAAGAGACATGGGGAGGTATGTGTAGCCATAAAGGGCGTTGTGTGGACTGTTGATGCTCTCACCTTGGCCATCTTGAAGCTCGAGGGGCTGGGGAACCTTGGAAGATGTCTTAGTGAGGGACGGTTTGGATACTTGAGTAATAAACAGCCGAGATTTAGTGGTGTTGCTGTCTGGGATCCCGTGTTTATGCTGACAGACCCCCGTTTTTCAAAGCAGTCTTCCCCGCCCTCGTCAGCAGCACGTGCAGTAAACGAGTCAGACCCACACACCCTGCAGTCCGACACAAAAGTAGCTCCGCAATGTCCTGAGATAGTGCGTAGTTCAACCCCCATCAGTATGCAGCAGTAGGCATTGCAGATGGGTCAGGCTCGGCTCAACCTCTGGAGCCTGCTGGTGACAGCACAGATCTGCAACAGGCCCTCTTGACGGCCACTGCACGCCAAGCGGAGGGGCAGACTGTGTCATCGGGGACCCTTTACGTCTTATGCCACAACCTGATGAACACGGGAGGATGCGCTGTCAAATAGAGGAGCACAGACCTGGACAGGCACTGGTACTGGCTCCTCTTCACCGCAAGCCCTCACTGTGACAATTGTTTGGTAAGGTCTGTATGGATGGTAGGGAGCTTCACAATCCAGGCACAGCGGACTGTGCACAGCCTTAGTGCTTCCCCTGCACAGAACTCAAAGGCGCGGGTGCAGTACGCCTTTGGAATGGTCTGCCGACCATTTCCACGCTCAAGATGTTGCCCTCTTGCGAGGTCTGAAGGGTGTTGGGGCAAGGTGGGGGCGGGCACAAGGCTGACTTGCAGACTCGAGAGGACTTAAAGAAGCGGCATAAGAAGGTATACTACTGGTGCGCTCCTCACTGCCACATGGCGAGGGGGTGCGGCATGGGAACAGGAGGCGCCACAGATTTATGGTGCCTAAGAGCTGCCCAAAGGTGCCACGAAGAAAACCATCATGTGGCAAAGGCCATAGTCCGAGGGTGCTATGAACGAGGACAGAGTCAGCAGAGTCAGGGCTGCATGCCTATGCGCATGCGTGGCACCTTGAGGTCCAGCTGCACAGATAACTCCCATGAGCAGTAACGTTATAGCGCGCAAGTGCGCAACATCAATCACCAGAACGCTGCCAGTGGTACGGCCACCTCATGCTTGAGCCCTGATGACTGACGCTGTATAACAGGAAGCTCAATTGTGGACTGACGGAACCTTCACACCCAGCAAGGCAGTTCCGTGCGGGTAGCAAAGCTGAGGCCAACTACTCCGGGCTCATGGCTATCAGTGTGCCATCTGCGGTATGGCAGGTCTGCTTCCAGGCTGCTTTGCAGATATGGGTAGTCACACGCTTCCTTACTGCGACAGAGAAACAAAATGGAATCGTAGAGGGAGCCTGCACTGGCTGCACTGACGTAAAGTCCGGGCGGAAATTAGCTTCTGGACATGTATGACCACATGGAGCAAGGTGGTAAATGACGGAAGACCAGGGCAATCGTAGAGGTCCCTGGGACGCGCGCACGGACCCTGCAATCTGCAAAATGGATGCGTGGTGGTCGATGGGTTGCGATGTGGGGCACATCTCCGTGCTCAAGTGGTAGTCAACTCGAAGGTTGCGACAGCAACCAGGATTTTTACCCAAGGACTGCGGGGCGTTTCATCGGCGTGGAGGTGATCCGCCCATGCTCCGTAGATGAGATGGGAGGGCCAGTGAGGTAGAGGGAGGGGTCCACGATGTGCTGAAGATTGGGGTCTTCTGGAGTTTTGAGCACCTCTCACGGACAGATTTCGCGCCCTGACTGCGACCGCCGAGCATGAGGTTGCATGGCAGCGAGAGCTGTCGGTTACGACTACAAATGCCCTAAGCGTGATGATAAAAGGGGAAGGAGATGCGGGGCGGCGATGATAGCAGTGTGTGCATGAGCATCGAAAACGGGCCAACACCTGCAAAGACGCCCTGGGGAGGGGCCGCGAAGAATTTCTCCGGGACATACGACAATGCAATTTGCCTCTGCTCCACGGTAAATTCACTTGTTGTAGGCTATCTCGTGCAGCCTTTACACGTCTTCAAGGTCTCCCATAGAAGCTTTGTCCTGCATGAGCCCACCGTCGCACCCCGGCCTGGGAGACAGCACAAGGCAAAGATTGGGGTCTTCTGGAATTTTGAGCACCTCTCACGGACAGATTTCGCGCCCTGACTGCGACCGCCGAGCATGAGGTTGCATGGCAGCGAGAGCTGTCGGTTACGACTACAAATGCCCTAAGCGTGATGATAAAAGGGGAAGGAGATGCGGGGCGGCGATGATAGCAGTGTGTGCATGGGCATCGAAAACGGGCCAACACCTGCAAAGACGCCCTGGGGAGGGGCCGCGAAGAATTTCTCCGGGACATACGACAATGCAATTTGCCTCTGCTCCACGGTAAATTCACTTGTTGTAGGCTATCTCGTGCAGCCTTTACACGTCTTCAAGGTCTCCCATAGAAGCTTTGTCCTGCATGAGCCCACCGTCGCACCCCGGCCTGGGAGACAGCACAGGGCCATCGCTCCACCTGTCTCTGGGCGTGCATGCTCCCAGCCTGGATAAGAGTCGGTGTCAGGATCGTGGATGAAGCGTGCCTGGTCCCACCGATCGTATTTCCCCTTTCCTGCCAGCTGGAGTGACTGGCCCTCTGAACCTTGGGCACATCGCATGGAAACAGGATGGTAAATTTCAACAGCATGACGCAAGAGCTCCACCTTCCTCTGAACAGGGCAAGGTGAGTGGCGCAACGCAATGGAAACAGGAGCAAAGATGTCGACAGTGCAGGGCGATGGTGTTCATGCAATCCAAAGGATGATGAGCAGAGTGAGGTGCGGGGTGGGCTGCTGGGAATGGGGGGAGGGGCATCCGCCGCCAAGTGCGGGCAATACAACACTGGCTCGAGCGGGGGTCTATGTGGTGGTCTGGTGCATGCCGCTCAAGCAGGCACGCATGTATTTGAGGGAGGCAGAGAGGGCGATTGTGAGGCAGGCAACCAATGGTCCACTCCTCCTGCCCTGGAAGATTACCGGGGATCCAAGGGCCAGCGCCGCCCCATGATGCTGCAGACCTCCTTTCCACCGGGTCACAGCTCCGTTGGCCTCTCCTCTCTACGTCCATGGTCGACAGAGCCATTCGCCAGGGGCGCCTGGCCGCCATGGCCCATGCGCACTTTGCCCGCCGGCGCACTGCCTAGCCTATCCGAGGCCGTCTCGCCAGCTCCCTTCTTGTTCAGTTCAGCAGCCTGCGGCAGCGGCGCGCTCAGGCCTCGGACGGACGGCGCCGGGTGGGTGATAGTGCCATGATCGTGCTGGCAAGGTACGTCCTGCGGCGGTGCCCCTCCGCGGGTCCCGAGGCTCGCCGCCGCGTCCTCAAGAGCACTCAAATTCACCACCGCGTCCTCAAGAGCGCTCATCTCCGCCGCCGCGTCCTCAAGAGCCCTCCATTTCGCCGCCGCGTCCTCAAGAGCACTCAAATTCACCACCGCGTCCTCAAGAGCGCTCATCTCCGCCGCCGCGTCCTCAAGAGCGCTCGACTTCGCCGCCGCGTCCTCAAGAGCGCTCGACTCTGCCTCCGACTCGCTGGACGAAGCGTACGACTTCAGTTCGTCGGAGGAGCTGGTCGCCTCCGAGTCGGTCGAGTCCTCCGACCCCTCCGACTCGTCGCTGGACGTCCCTATCGCCCGCGCAGCGCCCCGGGCTGGGTGTGCAGCCATGTGCGCCACCACCCCGGCGACCGCGGCGGCGAGCGCCGCCTGGTGGTCCGCCCGGCGACTCTCCCGCAGCGCCGCCTCCAGCGCAGCCTGGGCCGCGCCCACCGCCCCCTGCGCCTCGACCAGCGGCGGGGGGGGGGCGGCGGGGTCGCACCACCCCAGGCGGCACGCCTCCGCGACCGCCTCCGCGTACCCCTCGCAGGCCTGCAGCCGGGCCCGCGCGGCGTCCAACACCGCGCGGCAGAGGGCCGCATGCGGGCACCGCCCCGCGCCGGCGTCGACCTGGGCCGGGTCCAGCAGGGCCGGGAGCTGCAGGGTCACGCCGTGGTGCAGGTGTGCGGCCAGGTCCAGGTCGACCAGCAGGTCCACGGCCGCGCCGGGGCAGGCGACTACGAACCCGGCCGTGACGCGGTGGCGTGCGTCCAGCGCCACGCGCTCCACCTCGCCGGGCGTCGCGGGGGTGCCGCCCGCCGGCGCGCGCAGGGCCAGCGCCGCGCGCGCGGCGCGCTCCGCCGCCTCGCGCGCGGCCGGGGCCTCCGCCTCGCGCAGGAGACGCGCCGCCTCCACCCGCGCTGCGCGCTCCTCCCGCTCCCGCTCGGCGCGCTCCAGCCGGCGCTGCGCCAGCCAGGCCGCCGTGGCGCGGTCCCGGGCCCGCAGCGGCTCCAGCAGCGCGGCCTCGATGCGGAGCAGCCTCTCGCGGTCGTGCGCGGGGTCGGCCAGGACCTGCAGGTGGACCTCCAGCGCCTCCGACAGCTCGGCAGCAGTGCAGCGCTGCTCGGGCGCGAAGGCCAGGGCCCTGATCACGCGCAGCAGGACGCCCGCGGGCAGGCCGTCGATCAGGTGGAGGAGGGGCCTGGCGGGGTGCTCCTTGTGGCCCCGGGCTGCATATGTGTGCGGTGGTGAGGGGGGGGAAGTGAAGGGATGTGCAGAGTATCGGTGAGGAGGAATGGGAGGGTGTTGGGGAAGGACAAGGATGGGCGGCAGGAGTCGCAAGGCGGGGTGCGGTCGCATGGGGTCACGCGGCAAGAGGCGGGGCCGCAAGGGGGGGCGACGCGAGGGCACGGCAAGTAAGCACTCGCAGTACGGTTGGGGGTGGTGGACAGGTGGTGACCCGGCAAGGGTTGCCGAACCCGGGCCAGCCAGACGCAGCAGGCACAGCCCTTTGCAGGGAAGGGCGAGTGAGAGCAGGCTCCCACGCCTGGTCGTCACAGGGTGCACCTCTCCACACCCTCCCCACCCCCGCCCCAAAGCCAACCACAGCCCTCTAGGCCCTCCTTGCCCCTGCCCCTGCCCCCATGCATGGCCCACACACCTCGCTGGTACTCCTTGCCCTCCCAGCCGTTGCCCAGGGCCCCGGGCTGCAGCAGCTCCAGCATGGAGCAGGCCATTGCCCAGACGTCCCCTGACATCTGCGGTCTCTTGAAGCCCTCGTTGGGGCAGAAGGCGTATGTCACCCTGCAGTGGCCAGTGAAGGAGGTGGTCACACACGGCCAGCGTACAGGGAGGGCTTCTGAGGAGGGAGTTTCTGGCACATTCACGACATCACATCCCCCCCCCCAAGACCGTGGAGGCCCCCACCAACTCACGCGACGCCTTCCCACATATCGTGGGGGTGAGGGGGTCTGCCGTCCGCCGTCGGCCGGAAGGCTGTGGGGTGGCGGCGGAGGCAGGCCATCAGCGCTCGTGCAGAGGATTGACGGTGCATCCAGACAGGCCCAGGCGGCAGGGCAGGAAGCATGCGGGCTGGGGTTGCACGGAGTGGGCGGAGGGGCTACAGGCCACAGGCCCCGGCTGGCCATGTGCAGGGGACGACCTCCCCACTCCCCACTCACCCCCCGAAAAGTCCACCAGCTTTGCCGTGGGCTCGCCATTCGCGTCCACGCAGACCAGGATGTTGCAGGGCTTGATGTCGCAGTGGACGATCTGCGGCGGGGTGCGCAGGATCGTGAGGCAGCAGGTCGAAGGGGGGGGGCGGGCAGGCACGCAGTGAGGCGGCTCCACCGGCGGCGGGCATGACTCAGGCCCCGTCCCACTCTCACATCCACTCACCCCCAGCTCGTGCAGGTTGGCCAGGGCGAGCGCCATGCTGCACAGCAACTTCACCTGGCTGACCTCGTCCATGCCCGGGTTTTGGCTGGGGCGGGGGGGGGAAGAGGGGGGTTGAACGGTTGAGGCAGGGTGCAGGGGGCGCAGGGCAGGCTGGGCGCGGCGCGGCGGCGTGGGCACGGCTCCGTGACTGGCCACCGCACTCCGGAGGCTCGGGCACGCGCGCCCTCCTGACCCCACTCCAACAACCAATGACGGACGCTGCCTGCCCTCCCACCAACACCCACTCACCGCATGTACTCGTACAGGTGCCCGCCGTTGCAGTGCTCCATGAGGACGCCCTCGGGGCAACCCACGTCGTCCGTCACGATGCCCATAAGCGCGACGTTTGTCGGCCCGCGGACCATGCGCAGGCTGCGCACCTCCTGCAGCACCGCCTTCATGCGCTGGCCTGGGGTGAGTCTGTGGTCGAACAGCTTCAGGGCGGCCTCGGCGGGGAGGCCTGCCTCCCATGGGGCACCCGCCAGGCAAACCCTGGAGACCCTGCCGTAGGTGCCTGCCCCCAGGAAGCCTGTCTCCACAACCTTCACGGGCGGCGGCGGGGTGGGGTACGGATCAGTCGGCCGGGTGAACCACGCAGGCCCAGGCCATCAGGCGGCCAAGCAGCCTCGGCAGGACATTGGTGCATGGACTATCAACACAGTACCAGGTCCCCAGCCAGGCAGCGCCACCCCGCCTCCACTGAGGCACCCCCCTCTCACATGGCTCCTGTGGATCAGAGGCACCTTGGTCTTGATACAGGCCCAATACTTCCCAGTAGATGTGATGGCCATCTCCTCGGCTGCAATCGGAGGGGGAGCATGGCATCGCCGGGGGGGGGGGCGCATGGGAGGGACAGGGTAGACTGTGGCCCAAGAGGACCATCCCCCAGCTGTGCCAGAGGGTGGTTAGCAGTGCCCAGGCAGTATGTCCCCGCCCACCCCACCTCTGACCCAGAAGCCAGCCACCCAGTCACTCACCGTCGGTCAGGCTGGCCTCGTTCGCGGGCACGGCCGGCTCTGGGGCGGCCGGGGGCTCTGGGGCAGGGACAGGGCCTCCAAAGCCGGGTGGGGGAGCGACCACCTTCTTCTCAGGAGTCGTGTCCTCCTCCTCCTCCTCGTGGAGAGGTCTGTGACACAGGGGGTTGGGGTTGGTGGGGGGGCCAGGGTGAGAGCGCGTGGATCAAGGGCGGGAGACGAGAAGCAGCCTCATGAAGGGGCATGGCCGAAGCTCAGAGTTGAACAGCAAGCAACCCCACAGCGCACCCTCCCAGGTGGCACTGAAAGGCATTCCTCCCTCACACCCGCGCAGGCTCCCGCTCACAGGGTGACATTCGCGAGGCTGCCATTTGAAGCGGGAGGGGTGGCTCCCTGGCAGATGGCCTGAATAGCCTCGTTGGTGGCCGCAAGGATCAGCTCCTCAGATGCAGCAGGGTCACCAGCAGCGTCAACAGCCTCCACAGCGGCCGCAGGGATCAGCTCTTTGGAGGTAGCGGGATTGCTAGCTGCAGTGATAGCCTTGGCAACAACCTTGGCGATCGGACCCTGAGGAGGGATGTTGTTGACAGCATTGATGACAGCCTCGGTAATGACCGCAGGGATCAGCTCCTGGGAGGAGGAGTCGCCAGCCACAACGGCAAGCCCGGCCGTCTCGGAGGTCGGCATCTGACTAATAGCCTTCATTTTGCGCAGGATGGCGTCAGGAGCCTTGGAGGCCAGTCCGGCCTCCTGGGTGGAGGCGTCGGGGGTGGTTGGCACCAGCTTGTCCGAGGCGACAACCGTGGAAGCCACATCCCCGGCTTCAGAAACGGGCATCTGCGGCAGGAGTTGACCAAAAGCTTTGTGAGATCGAGTCTAGGGGACGGAAGAGGCCTGGAGACTGTGCGGTAATGAGGCGCACAATTCGTATCTTCAACCTACCTCAGCGACAGGTGTGCTCTTCGAGCCCATCTTCGGCATACGCGGCTCCTTGCTGAGCTTCATCCGCGCCTTCACGACCTGTAAATGAGTGTCGGTGTGCATAGATTGAGAAGCTGCAAGCATTTTGGAGTGGTTGTTGCAACACGGGCAGGTTCCCAGGCGTATACTCACGTGGATGGCCCACGCGGACTTGGTGCCCAAAGACATTGAATGCTATATCAAGAAGATTTGTGTGAATCTTTATGTGTGAAAAATGGCAGGTGAGAGTTAAGGACATGCGACTGTGATTGTGTCTCCCGTGCACTACTCGAACGACGCAGAAGGATGACATATCTCAGAGACAAACCAGGGCCAGTAACGGCATCCTCGCGGGCCCCCCATCCTAGGCACAGCAGCATCTCCTCAGTGCAGTGGATGCGCGGTCTTCAACGTATGACCAGAGGTCCACTTGTCCCAAGCACACCTTTCACCCTCGGGCACCCAGATCGCAGTGACTCTGGCTCGCGATGTGTGATGTTGGTTGGGGGTCGCAAAACACGGCAGCAGGCAGCGGCAGCGGGGCGGTAGGTGGCAGCAGCTGATAGTAGCCGCCTCCACATGGACCCAATCTTAGTGTCGAAAGTGGGAATTGTTTGGCGCACGCCCTTGCGACCCACAATGGACAAAGGGCGAGAATCTGGCCGACTTTGCACCGATTTCTTGTCTTGTTTGTACATCTGAGCACTATTTAATCTTGACGAGACCGGATCCACCCATTTCCGGCATCAGTGTCGACCCAGCGCTGTCCCTGTGCGCATTCCCCGGTCGCACCCACGCCTGAAGGCTACACCTCGCCGTGTCCCACAAACACCCTTTGCCGCCATCCCAACCATCTATAATGTCTTGGTGAGTTCCGGCGTGCGCTGGGAAGTCGAAATGTAGGACTTCACAGTTGGGTTGTCCTGGATCCGGTGGTTGCATGGACGGGATCCGACTGTATCGACATCCTCAGGGGATGGTCTCACCGTCGACTTGGAGAAACATCTCGGATTTGCTCTCGTCAAAGACCATCCACGACCTTTTCACTCCACTCGATAGGATTGACCGGGCTGTCTGACTCCTGTGTCACCAGTCGACAGCGACTCTCGTGTTGCCATGGCTGACCGCCTCAGTCAGCCGTGAGCGTGATGCTTTCATCATGCAGTTGGGATGGGGGTTGGGTGGACTGGGTTGCGTTGAC